GACCAATTCAATTGAATTCCAATTATTTGATCTTCTGACCCATGCTTTCAAATGCTTCTTTCCTCTCCAAACAGGAGATTCTTGCAGAGTAGAGCAACATGAGACTCAATGTACTGATCGTCAAGAATATTCGAAGAGACTGCTCACAAGGAAAAGTACTGAGCAGCAATGGTAAGATTGAATAGCACAGAGAGCACAAGAATCACCTCGTACCCGTAGTTACTCTCAAGAAAAGAAGAGACAGAAATGGTTGTGCATCCTCAACGTGTAAATGTATCCGGCATACTTGCTATGTGAGGAGTCACCGCCATCTTCCCCACGCCAACTCACCTGTAGCTTCATCTTGCGCCATTCCAGCTTCATCGTCCGTAGCGACTAGAGATACCACAGAAGGATATCAAGTCGATATACAAAAGTTATCCATCAGAACCATGGATCTTTCCAAGCCCGTCGATGCCACATTCACCAAGGCGCTACCCAAGATCGAGGTACTGTAGTAACATCCCCCAACACCATCCGACAGAGTCTAACGAGTTCCAGGTCCATGCTCATCTGAGCGGCAGCATCAGCCGCCAATGTCTCCACGAGATCTGGCTGAAGAAGAAAGCCCAAGACCCTGGCTTCGACGTTGAAGATCCCCTGGTAGTCATGCCACCAGGAAAAGTCGACTACTCTCTTCAGACGTACCCCAAACACAACCTGACCCCCATCGCACAAGTACACACCCGCTAAGATGCATCCAACAGCTTCTTCTCCGCCTTCTCCAAATCCATCTACCAGCTCTGCAACGACCTCGACAGCCTCGCCTACGCCACCCACTCCGTCCTGCAGGACTTCCTCTCCGACGGCGTCCGCTACCTCGAACTGCGCACCATCCCCCGCGCCTCACCCACCCACGCCTTCACCCGAACAGGATACCTCACCACAGTCCTCACCACCATCGAAGCCTTCCTCACCACCCACTCCCCCCACCTCTCAGTCTACCTCATCCTCGCCATCGACCGCGGCAACAGCACCGCCGCCGACGCCCTCGAAATCGTCGACCTGGCCATCGCGCACGCCCCGCGCGTCGTCGGCGTCGACATCTGCGGCAACCCCACCCGAGGCGACGTGTCGCTCTACGCAGACGCCCTCGCGAAAGCCAGGGCGCACGGGCTTGGCATCACGGTGCACTTCGCCGAGACGGAGGTCTCCGGCTCGGAGAGGGAGCTGAGCACGCTGTTGTCGTTCCGGCCGGATCGCCTGGGCCACGTCATCCATGTGCCGGAGGAGTTCAAGCGGGAGATCGCGCGGCGGAGGCTTGGGCTCGAGCTGTGTATGTCGTGTAATGTGCATGCGGAGATGATCGATGGCGGGTTTCCGGCGCATCATTTCGGGTATTGGAGGCATGTGGATTGTCCGGTTGTGTTGTGTGTATGTTTGCCTTGCCTTTTTTTCTCTCTTACTTTACTTCCCCTGGGGAGTCCGAGGGTGCGGTGGCTGAGGGTGCTGACACGGTCTCAGACGGACGATGTGGGCTTCTTTTGTAGCCCCGTGTCGAATGAGTATCTCCTGGCGGCGGAGCACTTTCATCTCGACAGGGCGGATCTGCTCGCGCTGTGTCGGGAGTCGGTGGATGTGATTTTTGGGGGCCAGGCTGAGAAGGAGCGGATGAGGGGGCTTCTGCTGGATTTCGAGGATACGTATACGTCGTAGAAGTGACTATGTGAGTTATGACGCGGATGATTGATGAGATATGACCATGAGTGGAATGAATTGTCTAGGAATACAATGGGTATCAAAATATCGTACAGTTTTCAGCCTTGCCATCTGAACTTCCCCTCTCTCAGCGTCTCGACGACCCCCAGAGGCATGAACTCCCTGTTGACCGCCGCCAGACTTCCAAACTTCTTGACCATCTCCTCGTGATACACCTCGGCCGTCCAGCGCCAGTACGGTGTCATCGTCACCCACGAATCCGTGATCCCACGTCTGCCGCCCGGCCCCGTCACCCCCGTCTTGTTCAGCGACATCAGGCTACTCTGAAACCCGGTAGTCTGGTTGATACTGACCTCTTCGGGGATGCGGATCAGGTCCTTATAGGCCTGCAGCAGAGCCCGACTGTGAGACTCGGGGAACCGCATGAACTCCTCCAGCGACATGAACGCGGCCGGGTCCCTATCATCACCATTGATGTAAACCCGCACCGAGCTCCGCGGCCCGCCCTTCTCGAACCGCTCCTTGGCCGCATGCCACGCGTCCTCGTCCTCCAGGAACGCTTTCTGGAGACGCTGCTGCGGCGTCTGCTTGATGTCCTCGCGCATGGCCAGGAGCGGAATGTACGGATTCAGCAGCTGCAGGCCGCCCAGCTCGATGGGGAAGTAGAAGAAGCCCTCCGGGAGATCGTGGACGTCGAACTGGTCCGCGATCATCCGGCGGAGGTGCGCGGTGACGCCGTCGGGGAACAGAGTCCGCTCGATGCGGCTGAGCGTCGAGATGGCCATGTCGATGTGGCTCCGGCCGAAGCACATGGCGGGTTTGCCGAAGTTGTTGGTGAAGAAGCGCGCAAAGTAGCTGTTCCAGGCCTGTACCCAGGCGAAGATGCTCTTGCACGAGGCGAGCTGGTGGCCCAGTTCGACAATGTGGCTGTCCACCTGCGACTGGTCGATGATAAAGCGGCCCTCCTGCGGGTCGAGCTTCAGAAAGCCCCAGCGGATGTCCCCGGCTGGTAGCAGGGAGGAAGGCTCTTGTTCTGCCGGGACTTGGCTGCCCTGACGGGGGTTTGGCTTTGTCAGTCGGACGGTTCCTGTCTTTTCCTCGTTGAGCTCAAGACCCATGACCCCAGTGAACTTGGTCATGGCGCCCCAGGCTTTGACGCAGGTATGCTCACGGCCCCAGAACCAAAAGTCATCATGCAGACGGTACAGGTAGGCGCCGCCGGTGCTTTGGTTTACCGCGTAGTCCATGCAGAAGAGGACCGTCTCGCCAAAGCAGTCCGATAGGGCATGACTCACGGGAACTCCCCGCTTGCGGACTTGCACCGCGGCGTTCTCTCCGTTGTGCGTGAATTTGAGCGGCGCTTCGAGGAAGACTCGGAAGAAATCGAGCCAATTCTGGGGGACCCCGAAGTACTTCAGCACCTCCATAACGGTCGCGTGTGGCAGCGACGGGCCGAACCACTTGAAATCAGAACGGATGGCCGTAAATTGGCCGTACTGGGTGGTGTGGATGATTGACTCTGTGATCAAAAGGTGAAGCAGCGAGTGCTTTGTGTCCAGAGCGTGCTTGCGCGTTCCTCTGTCGGTAATATCATCGCTGCTCGCTTCGTCACTGTACTCGGGAACACCTGCTTCCACTGACGAGGGCAGCTGGGTCATAAAGTAGTCCGCCTCGTACGTCTGCCGTCTGTAGTCGTTTACGCAGCTGCCGTCAACTGTCGAGTCCAGAAAATACCGGCGCCGTTCCCGCTCTTCCTTGGAGATATGCTGGCGCGGCGATTTCCAAGCGCGAGTCTTGAAAAACGCCTCGAATGCTTTCTTGAACGCCACCGACCATTTAAGTCCCAGGTATTGGAAGAGAAGACTGTCCAGCAGATCCTCGTCCATAAACACTCGGTACTTGCCGTTGAGCTGACGACGCATCTCCACAGGTATCCCTTCCTCAGGCCAGCTCCAGCTATCAAGCGAAGCCAGACGCATATTCAACACATCGGCCACCTCCTGAGCCACTGCCTTGTTGCGCATGAACTCCCTCAGGATGCCCATCTTCTCCTTGGTGAGCAGGTCAGCCTTCAACAGCGACTCGGAGACCCACTTGAGGTCATCGACGCTGAACCACTTCTTTTTCGCAGCGAGGTCGGTCCCAAACGACTTGACCCTTTCCCGGAGCTCCTTGAGCGCCTGCTGGGTTAAGGGCGTCGTGTTGAACAGACTGTCAAGGTACGCACGGATCGTATCGGCATTTACATCCGCCGTCGAGAAAACCAACGACTCCCACGTCGCGCGCTGCTCCTGCATCTCTGCGCGTCCCACCGGCTCAAACTCTTTACCGGCGCTCTGCTCAGCCTCCAAATTCTCCAGCCAATCCGTCACCAAATTACTGTAGAACGCAGCATGCTCATGCTTCAGCTCGAGCGACTGCAGCTCCCCCTCCAGCTGCGCAATCCAGTCTTTCAAGCTACCGTCAGAAACAGATGGGTCATACTGACTCTGTAGGAGGAAGCGGCGAATGTTGGTGTACGTGGCGCGGTCGGAACAATCTGTGACTCTGGTCGTGTGCTGCTCAGTATCATCCGCGTCGAGATCCTCCTTATCGAAGGCGTCGTTGGGATCACCGTTGAGCTTGGTGACTCCCTCGAGAAGGATCTGGACCTTAGAACGCAGATCGGGGGCGTCCCGTGAGGCTTTGAAGATCTGGTCCTTGCGTTTTTCAAAGAGGCTGCGCTGTTTCGAGAGTTCTTTGATTTTGGTGGCGGTGATGGACTTGAGAGTTTGAGGAAGGGCACCGGTGGATGCCATTCTGAGGTGAATGAAATGGCCGGACAGCTTCAAGGATCCTCTGCGATGAAGTCTCAGGGCGTTCATGTAGTTTCCTCACATTCAATGAAGAATGGTGAGTTGTGAGAACCCAGGAGTGTGGCTTTTAAGGGCGCAATACCATACAGTCGTCCTGAGGATGGTAGAATCCCAGAGAGAGAGAGAGTAAGATGAAAAAGAAGGAGATGGTGAGATGAGAGACTCTATTTATGTTTGATGCGACGAGAGTAAAGCCATAAAGAGTAAACAGTGTGTTACGGTGCAGTGGATCTAGGCGCAGATCGGCCTCCGTCGGGGTCACGTAACAGGTTAGCTCAGCCTGGAGCAATCAATATTCAACCTCCTCCGGCCAGACGATGAATCGGACAACATTTCGAGTCATGTTTGAACTCATTTGTGACTCATGGTCTGCATATTGACGAATGAGACGCAGCCATGGACTAAACAGTGCTTTTAAGCTACCAGGCAACCGAGCTGAGCTATGCTTCATTCACTCAACGACATGTCAAGCGGCTCCAATTCAATCCAGCACTCGTCATACTGCATCTCAAGCAAGCTTTTGCCTCGCAGCTCCCCCTTACTGCGGAATCTCCACTGCTGGATGATCCCAATCACTGCCTGTGCGAGAACAAGCAACGCCAACTCGCGTCCGACACAGCTCCGCGAGCCCTTGCTGAATGCCACAAACTTCGTCTCTATCTCTCGACGCTGCTGCTCACTCCCCAGCCAGCGCTGTGGTTCCCATTCATCGGCGTCGTTGCCCCAGAGCTCCCGCGATCGACCCAGCACAAATGTATTCGCTGAGACCATTGTTCCGACAGGCAGCGGAGCAGGGAGGCTAGGTATGGCCGTCTCGGCTCCAGGTCTAATCACTCGGGGGAACGCAGTCGGAAATGGGGAGGCTAGTCTTAACGTTTCTTTGATCACCGCCTGCAGTTCCGGCGAGGATGGCCATAAATCAAGGCCCTTGGATGCACGGACTTGGCCTCGAATCTTTTCCTGCCAAGTTTGGCCTTCTTTCGTGCCCAGGTGAAATATGACCGCTGTCAGAGCAGCGGCTGTGCTTCCTGGTCCTGCTATGATTAAGTTGGACGACTCTGACGCGACTTCCGCTGGAGTCATACGATTCGCATCGTCCTGAGGGACTTCTAGCCAGCTCCTGACGATGCTCGGCTGAGGAGATGCGACGACTTGTTGTGGGTTCCTCAGGAGCTTCGGCATGGCCACGCCCATGAGGCCCGCCATACCGGTCAGTACGCCTTGCTTGTTGTAAATCGGTCGGCGTAACATTGCATCTATCGGACGTGTGTTCATCAGCCACCCAAAGGCCGGCCAAAGCGAGAAACTCCAGGCCATTTTGGTCATGACGCGGAGATTTGAACATACCCCTTCGCCAGCAGGGGTATCGGTATACGGGTGGGCCGCTAGGCTAGGTCCAAAGACCAGCTCAAGCATTGTGTCTAGAGTGAACTGATGCACAATGGGTGCCATGTTCACTTCAGTAGTACCATTGTTCCTCCCATCTAGTAGTGAACCCGTCAACCGTGACTTCAGCCGCGCCAGCAGAATCCCCACATGCTTATCGATGACAGGCTTGTATATAGCGATCCTGGTACTAGTCAAAGCTGGACCGACCACCTTCTTCTTCTTGACTCGGTGACTGGCCTCTGTCTTTGCGGCGAAGATGCTCTCGGGCCGGCTGCCCCGATTGCGACCAAAGTCATAGAATTCGTTCTTCTCGATGGCCTTGTTGAAGCCATAAATAGCCTCGAAATCGTCCAGACCGGAGAATGACAGCCAGTTAGGTGCAACTCGAACCACACGACCGTATCTAGCGTGTAGATGCTGTTCTATCAAGTGATGCTGGCCGCTGAAGAATGCAACGAGTCTCCTGATTGTCGTAAGCCTCAAACCAAACAAGCATTGGCCTTCTACATCTGAAGAACAGGAATGAGAACGAACCAGGCATTAGTGAAGCGGGCAAGCCAAGGCCCAGGATAGCGAGCGAGAGGATGAAAGTAGCAGAGATAAACGACATGAGTTATGAACGCTGCCAGCGTCAGTGAGACCAGAATCTTAGCCAAAGACATGGTGTCTCTGGGAATCAACGTGCTCCTCAATGGAGAGTCAACCGCCGCGGTACCATTGGGATGAGAGATGACGATCAGAACGGACTTTTGTCACTGAGAAGTCATTAATGTTTGTAATCGACTGGTTGGATGCATCAGAGCGCTTTGAAACCCCACCAGGTCATGTGCATTTGCTGCATCGACTGGGATATTCTGATCGCCTCAATTTGTCTTCCGTTGCTCATCAGCCAGTTCGATGTAACCAATATTGCAGTTGAGTCGTCGTAAACAGACACTGATTGTCACGCTCGAATTACTGCTGTCCCTCTACCGAGTCAACAAAAAGCTTCGATAGCTCAAGCCGCCGATCACCCGGCCTATCACCCACAATCCGCTGGCTCGTGCTCAAGTACTTCTCTCGAAACGCCTGCCAAAGAAACGACTCCCCCTCTGGCCGGGGATAGAACGGATCATTTTTCCAGAAAGCAACGACCGCTTGCTCTACCCCGGCCTTATCCATAGACATATCCCTACACAGGTCAAAATCAAGCACCCACATCGCATGCTCGCCGAGCACATTCTCCCACTCGCCTTTCTCCCCACCAGGAGGAGCCAGGACAAACTCCACATCGTTCGCATCGATCTGTACGGCCCAGTGCATGATCGCTAGTGTCTCCGCCATGGCTTCGGCGTACCCCCTCATATCCTGACCCGGGATACCGAGTTCCTCCATCTGGTCTATATGTAGCGGGTAATTCCGAAGCGAAAAAGCCTTAAACCTCGACGCTCGCGCGGGCTGATGCACCTGTGTACGTCTTCGACCGAGATACGGCCGAACCAGACAATCCTCGTTCATCTCGCTGGCCAGAATCTCAGCTACGAGATCAGAGGGGCAATATTTGGCGACGAGAAGCTCTCTACTTGCTTTGGGAAAGGGGAAGACGCGCTGCGAGTGGATGACATTGCAGGGTGAGTACCCCTCAGGGAAGCGGGAGAGATGTTCTGTCCACCAGCTTTCATCTGTAGGTTGAACGAAAGAAAAGCAGCAGGAAACGTGAATACGAGGCTGGAGTCCTGTGTGTGATAGGTTACCTAGGCTGTGGAGGATTCTTTGATGCTTCTCGTAGTCGTTTCTGAGCGATCGAGCAAGCCCGCCGTCTTCTCGTTTGTATGCTGGGCCTCGCTCTGAGGACGCCCAGACTGTCCCGCAGGCACCAGCTCCGATGCGGCGGTATCGAGGTGGCTTGGCTTTTTCTTTCATCTGGTTTCGTTATGATGTTGTGTTGAAATGTTTCGTGGGGTAGTTGTAGAAAGTGAGGTTGGATGGTTGATGGTTGATCTGGAATACCACAACCAGTTTACGTCATGCAGACTCGTCGACTCTTAGAGCAGATCACTTCACTTTCCATATCCTATTCTGAAGGATTAAATATTCACTCAAGAGTTGCCATTCAAACATTCACTCACCCCTCCTCTGGACGACCCGTCTTCCGCGATCGTGGAGAGTATGCACTTCGAGTTCTCCAGGTCACTGACGGCTAGACCTGAAATTGACAGAAATATCACGAGGTGCTGAAGGTATCATTCTTGTATGGCATGATCATAATTCGTCATTAGATTACAAGCGTATCGTGCATCAAGGAAGAAAATCAAACCATTGCCCCAGAGGCAATCTTGGCTCCTTTCTGATCCGAATCTGAGCCTTTATCCAGCGAGCTTACTTCCCCGGGCGCGTGCATGTCGTCGGAATCCACTTCCTGTCCATAGGCCACCTCGTCGTCGGAATCCATCTCGTTCCATCTGTCGCTCGTCGCAGGTACGGGAAAGACGCGGGTGAGGATATAGTACATCACGGCGGAGACAAAGAAGCCCGAAAAGTAATTGATGTTGTAGATGTACTGAGCTCCCACTGGCACGGTACGACCAACCGCGCCTGCAAAGCCGACGATATTGACAAGGATACCGGAGAGATACGAGGCATACGCATGCCAGGAGAAACCGAAGACGAAGTAATATGCTCCATCCTTGCGGGCGCTGTAGAGATCTTTGACCTGAAGGTAGCCTTTGCGGTTCAAATAATAGTCACAGATCATGGGGCCGGCAATGGCGGACAGAAAGATGGAATAAGCCGAGAGATATGTCGTGAACTGGTTGGACGAAGACACAAGGTTCCACTATAAGATGTCAGTGCATTGTCCTCACGCTACCAATGTGGAGGAGCAAGAGGAGCATACCGGACACATAGCCAAACCAATTGCAGCACAAATATAGCTACCACGCCGGATGTTGAGATAACGTGGGAGCAAAGCAGTCAGGTCCGTACCAGCAGACACGGAATTGGCTGAAATGTTTGTTCCCAGCTGTGCGAGGGCAAACCCGGTGGCAATCACAAAGATTCCGAATCTTTCCACCGAGCTAGCTCCATCCAAGAACATTCCTAGCAGGTCAAGCGGATTCCACACAGGGTCTGTGTTATAGATGACTGCGGAAGCTGAGGATGCGATAATGCCGATGAACGAAGTGATGCCGAAACCAATCGGGATCGTCAACAGCTGCGACCACAATGCATCCTTTGGCTTTCTCGCAAATCTCGAGAAATCAGGATCGTTCATGATGAGAGCGGCGAAGTTTCCCAGGCAGCTCATGATTGCCTTCACAATCGCCCAGGCAAGAGTGCTTCCGTGGACTGTAGCGGGCTGATGTACAACCGGCCCAATACCGTGAGCGCGAGCAATAGACCACGCAAAGAAAGCTATGGCGGCAATAGGAGAGTAAATCGCCTTGACGGTAAACAGATGTCTGATCTTATGGATTGGGAACCACAGAGCAGGCAATGATAGAAGCCAGAAGAGGAAAAAGCTGACGAAGTTCTTGGTATCGACACCAGCGCTGGCAGAAAGGGAGTTGTGAAGATGAGCATAGCTAGGCCAGATGGCCTCGATCATCAAAGTAACACATTGTCCTGTCAACAATCAAACTCTATCCAGATCCGCTGCTACCTTGCTGGCTGGTGACAAAAAAAATACTCACCTCCAATGTATGACTGCACTCCGTACCAGATGACAGCCATGACGGCACGATTTAGGACCGGCCAAAATGAGCCCCAGATTCCAAAACTCGATCTCACGGCGACAGGGAATGGAACGTGGTATTTCGCGCCGATGCGACCAGTAAGACAGACAAAGGTGGCTGCGATGAAGTATCCGATCCAGACGCAGATCCAAGACTGCCACCATGAGAGGCCATCGACAATCATCGAAGAGGAGATCATCCAAGTGTTCTATACCGAATCAGTATCAGCCTGCCCCAAGCCTTGCAACAATTCCTGCGCATGCGACTTACGATGTTCAGCGAATCGGCAATCCAGAAAGCGATGAAATTGAACCATTTCCACTGACGCCGGTCAGGATCGACTGCAAGACGAAAGAACACCGGTAAGCCTCATTTTCGATCATAAAACTCTCAAGAGGGTCTAAGACAAGAACGCCGTCCCATAATCAAATAAGCCGAGAGTAACAATGGCAATCTCACCTGGCCGCAAGTCTTCATTTGTCAACATCAACTGAGCATTGCTCAGTCCGGGCTCTGACGACACCTTCAGCTTTTCGACCCATCGCCTGATTCGGGCCATACTGCTTGTACACAGATCGTAGCCGTGCAATCCAGGATGCAGTGCTTGGTGGGAAGACACAGAGATGAGAGGTAGATGACGCAAGGCACTATATCAATTAACCCGCGGGCTCCAGTAACACAATCACCTCCCAGACCATCAAGAGAAATTCATGTGAATATATAAATTCAGGTACAAACCCCATGCCTTGGGTAAGACAAGACATTATGGTGCGACATGACCCAATAAACCCGACCTTGATAAACCTGTTGATAGCAAGACCCGGTAGTACACCCACAATGACAGCCCACGACGATAACCTTGAGTTGCACCAGCCAGTAACATGCGACCACTACCCCGTAGGTACGGGGAAAGACTGCAAGTACACATTATGATAAGGAATTAGTATCAAGGATCCGTCGTCCAAGAATGGCCAGGACCACGAAGGATCATCCCGCCCAGTGATCCATGGGCAAACCACCGTCCCTTATCGCCCTCCATGAGATGATGAGGGCCGTGGTCAGGCCTCTGGAGACGGCTATCTTTCTCCGTTGCTTGATTCGGTCGAGTAAGCGACCGCCGTTATCAGCAATCAAGATCATAAATGGTGGCTGCTGCTCCACTTGGACTCTCCGCAATCAGCCTAAACACTGGGGAGCTCCACGGCTCCAGCGACTCAGAGGCCGCGATGAGGGCGCCGGTGGGCTGGGCATATCTAATCTCACGGTCATTGTGACTCGATGCGATCGAGTAAAAGATTCATAGTCAAAAGTCGAGATTGAGACATCCTCACCCCTTATCCGACATCAGGAGCCGACTTGACAGATATTCTTATGATTGAGGATGCGACGATAGATAGAAAACGAAGCGAACACCCAATAAACCATGGGGGATTTGAATACCACGTGATCTGGTCTCGACGAGCCAGTGCAGGCACTATTAAATGCTTCGTTACATACGTGTTGTAGAATTCTCATAATTTAGCATGTAGTGGAAAAATGGTATCTGTATACATAAGAAGAAATCTCAATTCAACCTCAACCTGCTGCGTCATCCGCTCACGCCTTAACCCTTGTTCCATTTGCCAAACTTCACGTAGTCATCATAGAGACCCTTGAAGATTGCCCGTCCAGAAACATCCAGGCCCGCATTCATGGCCCGCATGGTGTCCCGGGACATCACGTCCAGCACGGCATAGAGACCAGGAAGGATTGCTGCTTTCACTTCCGGTACCAAGGAGCCGCGAAGTGAGCTCTGCGCGTACTCCATGATCAAGTACTGCAAATACTGACCCGCAATACGCTTGGCTTTCTTGGTCTGGTCAGTGAGAGCCTCGTGGCTGCCCCCAGATTGTGTGGGTCGTGAGACGGCGGAGACAGTGGGATCGCAGAGGGAGGTGAGCAGACGGGTGAAATGGACGGCATGTGAGGCCTGCAATGGTGCAAGCCAGTACGGCTGCTGTGTGTGCCCCTTTGCAGAAAGCATGGATCGACTTCTCTTCTTGGAGCGGGCGAAGAGACAGTTCAAAAGTCGCTGCATGGCTGGAAGGATCAAGTGGAAACGCCCGCCGAGTTTCTGACGATGAAGTCCCAACAGCACTCCCACCAGCTTACAGAGCCGGATGTATATCGTTGCCGCATACTCCGGGTTGATGCGGGGCCCAGCTTTCGAGGCGCATACTGCGATAGCTGACAGCAGGCTGTCGATGTTCCATTGCGCGATGCAACGGGTGTGATTGCGAAGTAGAATGTCCAGACACTCTGTAGCGAAAGTGAAATGTTCAATGGAAGTACTGTGCGAGAGAGACTCTGTAACTGCCGTGCATAGGAGTGACAACTCTTTTCCTGCAGAGCTCTCCTTGTCTTCGATAGACGGTAGCGAAGCGACTGCAACGCCAGCAACAAGTAGGCGATAAGCGGCACTGTCGCCATCGAATCCAAGCTCCCGTATTTCTTGAATCACTGCGGTCACTTCATCCACGCTCATAGACTTGAACTTCTCTGTAGTCGCTCGGATGAAGAGCTGCTGCTCCTCGCCAAACATATGCTGGAGGGAAAGAGTTTCAGCACATTGAACAACAGGAACTGCGATGCTTCTATCCGATCGCCGACCAGTAAAGACACGGCGTCTTATGAGCCTCCGCAACGAGGATCCCGAGTCCATAGACCTTTCGACGTAGCTCTCGATCTTCGTCAGAAACTTCTCAACCTCGATGCTGTCCGTCACAAAGTCTTCAAAGTCCTCCAAGGCATCTAGGATCTTGATCAAGGTAACGGTTTCCTCGATCTTCTTCTTCTTCTTCCATTGATCCTTGACAGACCGAACTTCAGCCACAACCAAATCAAACACCTTTCGGCGGCAGGAGTCGAGCTCCTTTTCAACAAATGCCCCAGAAAGCTGTTTCCGATGGAGCCAGAATTGCGATAGGGAAATTCTGAAGAAAAAGCACTCCATTGAGTCGCGGTCCAGCGATTTCAACTTCAGAACCTTGGTCGAAACCTTGCGATACATCTTCTTAAACAGCTTGTAACGATCTTCCTCCGATAGAACAAGCAACTTGGATATCACTGCTCGATGTAAATTGCGGAACGCTTTCATGATCTGTAGATCACATTCAGTTCCCTGCAACGTGACAGCTTTGGCAGCGGTCCACATAGGCTCCCAATCGCTCGTGAAAGTCGCTGCGGTCTTGGGCATATCGGCCAGCTTGGCCATCAACGACAAGAATTCGAGTTTGATCTCCGCCATATTATCCTCCTGGACGAGAATTTCCTGAAGCAGGTCTAGAAGCACACCTCTCTGGCGCCGCATGATCAATGGTCCAGGCACTCTTTGAAGGCTTTCAATATAGAGCTTGCGATACTCCTTATCCTCCTTCAACCGCTTGGAAAGTACGTGAACCAGATCCACTGCGATAGCCGGTGAGTTAAGTAGGTATTCATGGCAAACGACTGAGGCCCATGCCTGGAGAAATCTCGCATTCGAAGGGGTAGTCTCCAAGTTCGCGGAGGGCAATCGAAATTGTGCCGCTGCTAGACCCAGAACGCGCTCGAAAAGAACACGCCTATCATCAGTTTTCATCTGAGGCCAAATATCAGGGTTTCTGACGAGCGTAAGGAAGTAGCCCAAGGCAAGAGACACTGGCGAGTCCAGTGTTTCAACCCGACCATTCCAGGGTGAAGTTAGGGATTCTAAAGCATCTTGCTTGGTGATTGTGCCAATATAGTCCTTGACCTCGCCGGTTAGGACGTGGAATCTCTCCAATCGACCTTTGTCGGTTGTTTCCTTGACAGCGGCCAGCGCGAATTGATACGCTTCGAACGATTCCAATGCAGCGCAAATGTTCTTCATTCGATTCTTATGGTTACGCTGAATTGAATTCACGGCCGCATCGGTAAGATTCAATGTGGCGACCATGAGCGGGTCTTCGGCTGATTGCACATTATTCTCGAGTAAATTGCGAGCCAGTCGCCACAAACGCCAACGCCAGTGGAAACTCTGCTTCGAGGACAGCGTCGCCGTCAGGGTGTCAAGAATAGAGTTCAACTCTTCTCTCGCGCCCGCAGCACCGATGGCTCGATTCCTGAGGCCAGCTTCTAAGAGGACGAATTGAGCGAAAGCGCCGGGGGCAGAGGATATTTTCCCGTCCTCGCTTGTTATTTCCACTGCGGCTGCTCGCATCTGCGCAGCAGCAGTAGCGTGTGTGAGGGGACTCCGCAAGATAACGCTGTAGACGCTACACAAATCGTCGTCCTCCCAGATAGAGAAAAGACTCAAGCTGTTATCCGCGAAGCGCGCCTCTTCGACATCGATCAACTGCTCATACCATAGTTGCATGAAAGTTGGAAGATCTCTTGCAGCCAGGAACGCGCGCAACAAGGGAATCACTATTCCGTTCTTGATGATTTCGTAGCTGTTGTCTGTGCGGTGCACGCCACTGCGCCAATGCAAAAGTATCTTTTCAACCAGAGCTCTCAACAGCTTGGCCGAATCCTTAAGGCCAGAGTTCGGTAAGAAAATATCAGCTCCCAGTTCGATTAACAAGGCCGTCAGGCCCCATTCAACCTGTGACAGATCATCCTTGAGTAGCCCCGTGTATGCAGCATGAGTGAGAAGCGTGTGTAGAGATAGCTGCACGTTCCGGTTTAGGACAACACGGAAGAGCTGTTCCAGAATAACAACGAAATCCGAAACGTAGGCGGATGATGAGCCCAAACTCTCCTGTTTGACGATCGAGAATGCCAGCTCCGCAACAGCAACAAAGAGGGTCTCCAACCAGGGAGCTTCGTGCGTCTGCCGGCGAAAGGTATCTCTGGGAACGGAGCGGGCGGCAATATCGAGGAACTCAGGCAGCAGCTCAGCAGTTTTCCAGAGCCTCTTCTCCTGCTTGCTGGTCTTCAAAGACTCACTCGCACAGAGAATAGGCCCGAAAGTCTCGGACACCGGTTTGACGGAGCTCCAGTCCGGCTCGTCACTGGAGTAGTCTATGCCAGAGCCACCTCGGTCGAAGAACGCTGTACGAGCGGGAAGGACGACATGGAGAGCAATCAAACGCTCAACCCCGTGTAAGACGTGAGCCCTCTCGTCCGTGTCAAGTCGGATGGAGCGCACACAGAACTGAAGCCTGAGTGCATTCTGGAAGCAATACTTTGCAAAGCATTCATGGCTTGACCCGGCGTCCGAATCGTCCCGACGGGAGGATCTCAATTCCCACAATTCGAATATGGCCGGAATAATGTAGAGGAGATGTTGCAAGTCGGTCGTCTTTTGTCCGTCGAAGAGCTCTTTGGAGACGATAGCAGCGAGCTTGAACGATTGACCCAGCAGTTTTGCGACCGATTCTGGTTCGCCGCGGAGGGCATGCTTCAAGTGTGAGCTGGCGACCTCATCAATACCCGATGTCCGTCTCGTCAACATGACCAAGCCATACAGGCAATCCAAAACGCGAATAAAAGAGAGGAAGCAGGAAGAGGACGTCTGCGGCTGCTCGTCGGTATCCATAGCATCTTGGTCGTCGTCGTCCGCTCTCTTCCTCTTAGTCCCCTTCCTATCGTCATGTGGTGAATCGCCCAACGTATCGCTCGACTCCGAGCCAAAGCGCAGATCATCGGCTTTTCCATTCTCAAGACTAGCGAAAATATCCTCCTCCAGGTCTGCAATCACGTCGCTTAATGTCGCAAGAAACTTCTGGTCTTTGAGGATGGTCGCCAAGGTTTTTGGAGGGATCAGATCGATCAACTGTCGCAGCAGGAGAAATGAGGCCGGTTCAACACGATGACTCTTCCCTGCCCGCAGCTTCTTCAATAACCACCGGAGAACCCATTCTTCTTTCGGGGTGGCATTGGTCTGAATGTGTCCGGTTCGATTGATTTCCGGATGTGTCGCACACAGCGTCAGATCAAGTCCGATAATGTGAGCAGCGTCGTTTATCTGTGCTAAAGGTGAAGCGGTGCCTTTTTCGAGCCGTAGTAGAGTTTCTTGCGAGGAGCGCGGGCGCTGTATATAGCAAAGCAACACAGGATCAGCATATGCATTTCACAGAAGACAAGTCTGAAAATACAAACCTCCGCGACTGAGGGCATCTCGTCCGAAATCTATGTAGACAGAACTCCCCGTCCGTCTCTCCCAGATCAAAAGAAAGGAAGAAAGTGGGGTGTTCTTTGCGTTCAATGATTAACACTATCAAAGAAAAAAAAAAGTTGCCAAACTGACTGACGACAGAAACCCGCCCAAGCCTATTTTTTCCGACCGCCTTTGCCCGGCGAAGCTCGATCGACGTCGCTCCCCAACTCATTCCATCATCTCCTTAATTTGGTTATCAATTCACTCGCGTGACATTTGCCCAAGTCTATTGCTGAATGTCAGTTGCGAACCAGCCCCTGCTCATACTTCCCATAATACTAATGGCCATTTTCTAGATCTTCCGCAATGGCCGACTCCAATGAATCCCAACCGGTTCTCCGGTCCACTAAGCCCGTTAGCGAGGCATTGCTGAACGAGAAGGTACTATCACGCTTTCATGACTTCCTTTCTGTCGGTGCTGCCAGCCTGGCCCCGAGTGCAAGGGGTCGATTGTTACAAGAGTCCGATTCAAATGCAAGCCGACTGCATACAATTCCTGCTCCAATGGCTAATATGACTGCTCCGTTGTTTACAGTGGGACCGCGCCATCTCCTCCATGATCATTCGTTCCTCCCTCGGTCTCTCCTTCGGCATTGTCTTCTCAGTCCTCCTCTTCAAGCGGAGAGCTTGGCCCGCGTGGGTTGGTCTGGGTTTCGGAGCTGGTCGTGCTTGGGAAGAAGCCGACGGTATGTGCAAGGCTATTGATTATCGATACCGACAATGACGAACAAGACGAGTACGGCGGCTAACACAATTCTAGCTTCCTTCCGTCGGGGTGATTCTCCCGTTAGAGATGCGCTGCGTAAATAGAGATTGGTTCAGCATTTTATCATGTACGATACCTGTATAGGTGTTGAAAACAAGGCCGGTTGAGGCGCTTTTCAAGCAGTTTAGAGATCTTCTAGGCTTTATTTACCTTTTAGCATGCAATATATCTGTCGTCTTACTGCCTCTTCCATGTCGCTTGTCGACTCGCTCATGCATCATACAGCTATTTTTGCCGGAACAGCACAGGACACATTCTCGGAGGAAGTGCGATGCTTGCGCATAAGGAGCTTCCATATGATTTGAAATACCAGAGCAGTAGACTGTCTGCGTTCCTTTGCCTTTGAGGCTACTCTAAGGCATCTAACGATTCCGGAGCAAAGAAGACGAAACAAAGACCAATTCTTGCAGCGTGTGCGCGTTCAAGACACGAACTTCGAATGAGAAACTGAGAAACTGAGAAACCCCAACACCGGGTATGTACCTCCGCAAAAGAGGGGAGAGCTTTCGGAAATGAGAATTCAGAGAAGGGATGGACGCAGTCCGAGCAGAACTATGCACAGAAAAAAGAAAGGAGAATCAATAGCTCTAAGGTCCAGCATCTATGTAGGTGGGTATCGGGGTCATAAGTCATGGGGCGAAACATTCCATTTAGCGATGTGCAGCAGAAGCGCCATAAAACGCCAAAGCTCTAGAGCATCGGGTTCGGGGATTGAACGGTGGCGTGTTCGAGCCCGGGTACGTGCGGCGAGCCGACGCCCTTATGCTCTGCAGAAGGACTCGATTGGGACAAATGGTTGTTCTCCATCGTCGAGGGCTCGACCGCAAAGCCATTGTGACCGTTATGCGTGAGACAGCCAACGCAGCTACAATCGTTGCCGCAGAGGCAACTGCCGGTCACATCGGAGCAAGCACTCGGGAGTTGCACGGGATATTCGATGGTGTAATATTCGGAGGGTACCATCAGATGTTGTTCTGAGGTGTACTCTGTAGAAGGCGAGCCGCCATTTGGACTGGTGTTGTCCGTGTTTTCGTGCATGGGCCCTGAGTGATTTTCATGGCCGAAGTGGCTGAAATTGGCGAAGTTGTAGTTGAACCGAGTGGCATCAGGGTTGCCATTTGATTGCAAGTTCCGGTAGCCATTCGAACGCTCGAAACTCGATTCCTCACCATCAAGCGTGACTAAGAGACCCATCTCTTGAACATGCTGTCTCGTAGTGCTATTAAAAGGATGGGTGGCGCATCCTAGACACTGACAATTGTCTCCACAGTCGCAGTCGTGCTTCGAATCTCCGTTAAAAGTTGCATGTGGGGGATCATGAGTCTGCGTCTGACTGGGCGTTGGCTGTGATAAGGTGCCCTGGAAGAAGCCATTGCCGTTGGAGACATTATGCTGCGGGAAACTCGGCTTTGAGTAGTCTAGTGTCGCTTGAGGCATGTAGTTCGGCATGACCCTGGGCTGTCCGAGGGCCTGATTCTGTAAAGTGTAATGCGACGAGTTGTTAGTCTGGCCAGCTGTGTAGAAATCCTGCCAGGATGAGATCTGAGGAGTCGAAATTGGTGTATACATCGCGCGATCCGAGTACGACGGATATGATGCAGTCTGCGAATCCATAGGCGAGTCATTCTTTTGGCAACAAGAACTTTGCGTCGGCGTGGGAACGGTTGCTGGCGCCTTCGCAGAACAGCAGCTCTTCTTTTGAGGCTTTGAACTCTGGACATCATCGAATGTCTGCTGAGCCAGAAAGGTAGGCGGAGTGACGATTCCTGAGTTTGTAGCGCCGCTCGAGTTGCTAGCAATACCAAGGCCTGCGTCATATGGTGAATATGGCGGCAGGTGGCTAAAGACTCCATTCTCGCCGTGCCTGTTCTCAAATCCAGACATAGAAGTGAAACCACTGGCGAAGTTCTCCGGGGATGGTTGGAAAGTACTGGCCCTTCTCTCGAGCTGCTGGCTATCACCGGTGGACGGTAGTTGCGAGGTCATGGGGGCGACAGAGAGTGGATTTTGAGCCGGAACATGTTCGCCCATGCTGGCAGGCACCTGATACACTGGCCTACATAGACAGGTAGATCCTGAATACTGTCAGCCATCACAATTGCGAATGCAGGAAATGGCACGGCAAGGGCTCCTCTCCTCTCCGAGACATACTAACCTTTGGGTATAGCAATCATGAAGGCGCACTCCCGCTGACAGCTACACTTGCCTTTGGGGTGTGGACATTTGGCAAGCGGACGCCCAGCCTTTGGGACTTTGATCATCAGTCTGTCGAAATGCTGGCATTTTGATGAGCGATGGCCACGAATACATGGTTTACTGCATAAACAGACTTAGCAACACCGGAAGACATCTCAATCGTGAACTAAGAGAGAAACGCCTTACCATGACCATTTGGCCCCCTCTTCATCAAGAGGCATGGTTGCAGTTGGTTAATCTCAACCCAGTCTAGACCATATGTTGACCGTCAACCACTTGAGATAAGTGCTGAATGACAGATATGCCCCTCGGTTGGGATCTGTATCAATTGACCCTGCAAGAGTGCGCAAAGTTCTTACCCCACTTTGGCAAGTGACTAAAGCGTCAAAGCTCTGATAAGGTACCAAGCAGGTAGATAAGGGTGGCTAGGAAGTAAATCGAATGTTACAAATTGAAATCGTTCGGTCAAAAACACAATTTCCGAGGTTCGTTCTAGGAGATGAGAAGAATCATCGCAATGATCAGACACTATAGAGTACGGAACGTTCCGGTTGCTCGACTGAGCGGTGGGGGAGGGAGTTCAGTTGAACAACTGAAAATCGGACAAGAGAGGGCAGGACTTGATTTGTCAACTCTGCAATTGCCAATAAGCAAATGATAACAGCAATGAGGAGGCAGAATTCGGACAGGCAGAGTGCACCCCGGTAGGCGCTTGAAGATGCGGGGAGTAGCGACGAGAGATAGCCGCAGTAGCAGTAAATAATTTTCCCCTGGAGAGTCGGAACTTTCACAAAGACGTGAAGATCCAATCAGAATGGAGAGAATGGAGGCTTTCATGATGATGGTGGGGGAACGTGACGTGACGAGGGCCTCAGGCATCCATTCCTGGACGCCTGAGGCACATTAGCCGAGTTTATTACAAAAAATGCTGCAAACAAGCGGATGCGTTGCCATTCGAGCTGCGACTAGCTTCAGGTACCATCATTCCCGCCCCTGTTGTTTCTTATTGCTATAGGTTCGGTATCCTTATACCCGTCTGACGTGGGATCCTTCTTCGTACAACCACAGACATTGTCATACAGGGTTTATACCACAACCCAAGTCGAACCTCTCCCTTCCTCCGTCATCCATCCATGTCCCCAGACAACCGTGGCGCCTCCGGCCAGGCTCCGGATAATACAACGACGTCTCGCGCTCGGGATTTCTTCTCCGTTCCTGCACCGATTAAGCGCATCTTCGACCAGTTCCCTCTTGTCACCTACCCTTCAAATGACCTTCCTCACCATTCAGGGACAGCTCGACGCGGCAACCGTTTGTTTGTTTTCACAGATCCCGCGAGTGCCAGACGAGGGAGGCCGTCGTTCAACCCGCAGTGTCTCAAGTGGCAGGTTAGATGGGTGATGGTCGAATTCTCATTCGTAATCAATCGCTGACTGAGCCTCTTTGAGTACAGGCATACTTGAGATTCGTAGGAATTGACCTGGAACTCGTCCCCTCAAACAACCACGCTTCTCCAACCGGCGCACTTCCTTTCCTTCTCCCCGCGCTGCCAGCCGGCACTACGGCGCCAATTCCCTCGAACAAACTACAAAAATGGGCCATTGAACAGGTCCACTGTGAGGAAGAGCAGCAATTGAATTTGCGCTTTGAGGTGTATGCCTCATTACTGGATCACCGGATACGAAATGCCTGGGTGCGTACTGTCCTCGGAATGTATGAACTCGAGCCTCTGACGTGAAAAAGCTATACATGCTATACCTGGACAAGAAGAACTTTGAAGCGGTAGCGCGGAGACTATACGTGGATCCATCGACCAGCAATTCTGCAGTGCGCGCCGCTCTAGCCATGCAGCTCCAGCACGCTGCGCATGAAGAGCTGCTGAAGACCTCGGCTTACGTGGATGTCAGCGCATTGGAGGCCGATGCTGCGGACGCATTTGAGGCGCTTTCGACGCTACTAGGAGACAACGAACATTTCTTCGATCGAGGGAATCCTGGGTTGTTTGACGCCAGTGTTTTCGCATACACGCATCTGATTCTGGACGAAGGGATGGGGTGGAAGCAGAATCGACTGGGACAGCTGCTGCGGCAGCATGAGAATCTTGTACAACATCGCGACAGACTGCTAAGATTTTTTTAGGTCGACAGCCTACTGTATAATATCTACTAACTATACTTGCATCCATCAAGGAAGCTGTTTTGATAACAGATCGCCAACAGTGAAAGAAACAAGACGCTTGAAATAGAGAAATCAAAGAAAATTAATGTTCACATCCGCTTCCTAAAGCAAATGCCAAACCACACCGTGATCCCAACCCACTTTTGCGCCCGCTTGCCCAACACCTCGACCATGTTCTCATCTACCTTCGCCTCACGAACCACTTGACCCTCCAGCTCCTCAGCCTCAAAACCGGCTCTTTCAGCCGCCACCAACACATCTTCCACAGTGTGGCAATAGCTCGTGGGACGAATCTTCGTCCCCGTCGTCGTATCCACAAATCCCGCCTGACTGATCGACCCCATCTCCGAGTGCATATTCGTCACAAGCAGATGACCCCCCGGCCGCAGAATCGCTGCCGCCGCATCAAAGAACTCCTTCAGCGGGATATGCTCGACCACCAACGTGGAAACCACACCCGAGGCACCAAGCGAAGCCTCCGGTGGCGCGGGCGGCGATCGCAGCAAATCAAATAGCTCCAGATATACGTTCCGCGGCCTCTCGTCTGTGTCTGCAAGTGTCTCCTTCCGGACAGCTGCACGAGCTGCCTCCAACATCCCCGGCGAGGCATCCAGCCCGATAACCTCGGCATCCCGAGGCGCGAGCCTCAGAAGCTGCAGGGTGTTCCGGCCCGTGCCACAGCCTAGATCGACCAGTCGGGGTTGTCGCGGCTGAGATTGGGAGACTTTGGCTAGAAACTGGGGGAGTAGATCGCGTAGTTGGAGGGTGTCCAGTGCCTGGAGGAAGTTTCCGTCTGTGTCGTAGACCTGGGGGGGCAGAGTTTAGTCGTTGGCCTTATAGTCAAAGGATTATGGCGCCATACCTCTGCCCATTTGTTGTATGCTTCGACTGTGTCCATATACTGAATGGTTTTCTGAGATGTTCCGCCGCCCTTTGAGCTTGCTTGGAGCATTTCCTGGATTGTTTGGGTCATTTTCGGGTCGTGTGTACTTTATGTAACCGCCAGACTGCACGCAGCACAACGCAGTGTAAGAACGAGAAGTCTCTTGTTTTGGTCACTGGAGAGACCTGTCTGCGACCAGTTTAACAAGTATTTGTTCATGTGAGATGTGATTCTATACGAGTCCAGCAGATGAGTCACAAATGTCGAAAGTGGAAACGCAGATATTATTTCCGAGGTTGCATGCATAACATGCAAGTTAAGTTTAATCGAGTGACAGGCAACACGTCAACTTGTGTATACCAAGCTCTAGAACTACTTGATACATGAAATTGAGCATTGATGCTCTTGGATTTTTAACTTAATAGGTGTAATCACAAACTAGCCAAGAACCAGTATTCATAGACAGGAACCTTGCGATCAAAATCGTCTTGCATTCAAGTGTTGCGATCGTTATCTTTTCAGACTGCCTGACATGACACCATGAGACATCAAAGATCGTGAATCGGACATGGAGAAAGAAAGAAAGGGAGAGAAAACAGGGAGGTGAAAGCCACAGAAGAGGGAAAATTGACCCGACACCGTACCAGACGGGAGGAAAGAAGATATGAAAGGAAAATGAAACGAAAGAAGCACCGGGCCTTGATCCAAATCCCAGAACTGAAAACAGAAAAGACCCAGCAATAACCGATAGCACCCATACCCATGAACGCTCCATCGCTGAATAGAAACAAGAGAGATTAAACGGCAAGATCAATCCAGCATATCATGTCCACATGCTAATAGACCGTCGCTCCAAAGGGAGCCGTCTCCTTCAGATCCTCCACTAGGTCCTCCACATTGTTGAGATACCGCCCTAACAGAGCTTGCTTCTCCTCGGTCGTGCGCGTATCTCCATGGCCCTTTCCTCCATGCCCAGGCCCGGCCACATTGAGACTTCGCGAATACGGACCATTGCCCAGTTTGCTAGGACTGCGCTGCAAACCACAGACCGCCGTGTTCGGAGCACTTGCTCCGATGGGATATGTTGGCGTCTCTGGCATCAGATAGAAATAAAGGAATTCCACAAGCTTGAGTTTGACCTCGCGTGACGTCGCGCGCTGCTTGAATAAGGAAGTCACGGTGAGCAGTCCGTCCAGTTCTTCAAAGGTTCGCGTGCTGGCTGGGTTGTCCAACAAGGCTGTGACAAGGGTGAGAAGGGTCGCGGACTGAATCGCAGGACAATTAATGGGGTCGAGGAGGTCGAGAAGAAGATTCATGTAGATTTCGCGAGCGAAAAGAGTCCGCGAAGGCGGGTGGAGGAGGAGAACGCCTTGAATCAGGTCAAGTGTAGAGAGAATGAGCAAGTCATTGGTGCCATTCCTTCCGCGACCCAGCAGATGCTCCAGGCAGGTCACCAAGCGCATTGCGACTGCTGAATTGTTAGTCTCCAGACGAGCGCGACACTGACCACAACATCACGGGAACTTACCGTTCCATTGGAAGCCTTCTTGCAATTTGAAGAATTCTCGAAAGGCCGGATCATCTTTCAAGTCAGATAGAGCCTTAGGCACTGGTTGTGGAGCTCCAAACGACAGCAGCGACCTCCGTTTATCAGACACCGGCTGTTTCGACTTGGACAAACAGATCTGTGCGAGCAGGCCTTCCACCTGGCGCAATCCCTTGCGAACTTTGCTTGGCTCGTAAGAAGAGAGATAGTCGAATGAGTGCGCCAATAGCGTCTCCATGAGTGGATATGATGCGATGCGATGCGATATGATATGATATGATATGAGTGAATAAGAAATGGAGACTTCAAGGATATAGGATAGATAATGGAGGCATAAACCGAAAGGATGAGGCCGATCGAGAAGAAGATAACCCTTCAGTGCCGACGCAGAGGAACGCTGGAGGCACTGTGTTATCTATAGCTCGCTAAAAAAGAAAAAAGGTAAAATAGAACACAGGCCAGACACTTTTTTTTTCTCTCTCCTTCGCTGGGACGTGGATTTAATTAAGATTGATAGTTGTTAGAAGGGAAGATAGCGTGCCCAACTCATCATTGACACTTCATCTGGACTAACTTGACCCGGTCGTAGTTCATCATCATAAGACTCTTAGTGTCCAGGACGCAGGACCTAGACTAAATCCTAATCCGCATCATCGTGGGATGATCGTGCCGATGAATTCCATCATTCTGATCCGTTTTCCCCTCGCTAAGTGGCTCACTGGCTCTTCTAGACTGTCCCTTCTCTCTCCACATCCCAGCCTCCCACAGTCTCTACAGTCTTACAGCGAGGTGGTTGCCCCGGGAAACCGGCGACCCTCATTGACCCGTGGGCGCTTACCCTCCAGCCCTGGTGACGAACTATGATCATCTTGTTGGTCGACGGAGGAGGAACCTTTTAAGACTCAAGCTAATGATGTCAGCCTCAGCTACGCCATGTTCGGTCCGATTAAACTTGTTCAGCTTGTGACGATCTCTTGCTACGGAGTACTCCGTAGAGATCCCAGCCCCAGCCCGGGTATCAACAATGACACCATCATATCAACAAAAGCACAGCGATGCCTGAAGGTGGAGAAAGACGGAAAGAAAAATTTTTCTTCATCAAATTACCAGCCCCTTCCTTGTGTCAGGATTCTCTAATCGCTCCTTGTCTTGATTCATCCCTTGTTCCTGCGTCAAGCGTCCTCCGATTCCGAATGTCCCTGGAATCCCGTTGGTGCATCGCTCACGATCTAGTCACATGACTGCTGCCTTGGCGCCTAAGGTTCTTCAGTACCACTGATAAATGCGGGGAGCATGTGATATATCACAGGCAGCACTGCGTCACTTTTTCACGATGCATATTGAATGTGCTGGCATGCGCACACACTCTGTCCCATGCCCTCAGGTACTCGAACAGAGCTTCGAGCATCGTTGATGGATGCAATCATTTGCATCTCCATATTATTTGTTCCAGATCTGGTTACCTGCATGTTTTTGACACCCCCTGGGCAGAGGAGCAACTTTTAAGAGAGAACTTTATTAGGAGCCCCTCATGTCCTCGGGATCTGCGTTTCAATCTCCGATAGAGATTCCACCTCGAAAGAGCTCCGCCGGTATGGCAGACCGTCTGCATACAAGCTCATCTATGATGAACGGAAGCAAGTCAAATGGCGAGAGACTTCAGACCAACATGGACTCTTCCAAAAGACATACTCGGAACCGATCCAGCTTGGATGGCACCAAATACCGTGATGGGAGATGGTCGCAGGAAAACGAGAAGATCTTGATGGGTCCGTATGACTACATGCAACAACATCCCGGCAAAGACATCCGGCGGCAGCTCATCACTGCTTTCAACGTCTGGCTTCAAGTTCCTCCGGAGAGCCTCTCGATCATCACTAAAGTAGTGGGGATGCTTCACACCGCTTCGTTGCTGTAAGTCGCAGAATACTCCCACTAGGATAATCGCTGATTCGCGTCTCCTGCCAGGGTCGATGATGTTGAAGACAACTCCATCCTCCGCCGCGGCATTCCCGTCGCTCACAACATCTTCGGTACCGCGCAAACCATCAACTCTGCCAATTATGTGTACTTTCTGGCTCTTCAGGAGGTCCAAAAATTGAACAACCCCACTGCTATTGATATCTATGTTCAGGAACTCTTGAACCTGCATCGGGGTCAAGGGATGGATCTGTTCTGGCGAGACACCCTCACCTGTCCTACCGAGGAGGAGTATTTGGAGATGGTGGGGAACAAAACGGGCGGTCTCTTCCGACTCGCGATCAAGCTGATGCAAGCCGAGAGCACTACCGGCAAAGACTGCGTGAGCCTCGTCAATGTCATGGGGCTGACCTTTCAGATCTGCGATGACTATCTCAACCTTTCTAACACGACCTACACAAAGAACAAGGGGCTATGTGAGGATCTGACCGAGGGCAAATTCTCGTTTCCTATTATCCACAGTATCCGCTCCAACCCACGGAACCATCAGCTTGTCAGTATTCTCAAACAGAGAACCAAGGACGAAGAAGTCAAGCTGTATGCGGTCAATTACATGGAAAGCACTGGCAGTTTTGCCTACACGAGGAAAGTGGTTCGGGAGTTGCGTGACAAGGCGATGACTCTCATCGACGAGATTGAGGCACAGGGAAATGGGAAACAGGCCGAGGGGCAGGATGATGGCGCGATGGTGCGGGCGATTCTCCACAAGATCACCGAGTCGACATTGGGGGATGATGTTGATGGCGCTGATGGCGCTGATGGCGGCAATTGAGAGTTTTCGGGTCTATTTTCGAGTACAACTACATTATGCCCTCAGAGAGGGTGGATACCCCCATCGTTGATCAGGATAGCAGCATTTGAGTGATTTGCGATTGCACTAATGACCTTTGTCATTTGTATGATAACGTACAATCTATGATTGTTCATATTCAAGATAGATTGGCAATACAGCAAATGATAATGTGAAGCTCTGCGTGGTAAAACAAACTGAGTGGGTGACCATGGATTCACTGTAATTTCTTGCATTATCATGTCTTTGTGGGTTATGTGATAACATTGAACTGTAGGTAGGTATCTCAACCGAATTACCACGAAATTACTGTACTATATATAGCCTCCAAATCATATACATACCCATGAATAGAACGAACCAAGAACACCCTCACATAATTGTACAACAAGCCTTTTCCAGCTTGCGCAACACCCGGGGAAGAATAGCATTGACCACCTGCTCGATCTCGTCCTGCTGCTGCCCACCCTGCTGCTGTTGCTGGTGCGGCTGCTGGCCATGACCGTAGCCCTGTCCCTGTCCATGTCCATGTCCAGTCGACGGGGGCATCTCCGCCGGGCCCCCTGTCAGATTCACATAGATCCGTCCCGCATTCTCCTCGGTGGCATACTGCAGCCCCAGCTCGCGACAGACCTGCTCAACACGCGGCTTGATCTTCTGGACGTGGTTGGCGGAGTGGTTTCCCTTTCCCACGATGCTGCAAAAATCAGACCATTGAACAACGTCAGCAAACTGATCCCCTGCCCATCAAACTAGAAAAGAAAAGGAAGTAACCAACACATGGAGATGAGTCTGCCCATGCGCCTTGGCATATTTGATCCTCTCCTCGAGGATATCCTCCGCCTCCTCGACGAACTGCCCATGCAGATCGATCGTGTCGGCCGGCACGCGCCCGTTGGCGTTATTCTCGCGGAAGATGAACTCGGACGCTCGCTTGTTGTACTCGTCCATTTTGCGGCCGTGGGCTTTGCCCTGTTCGGAGAGCTCCTTGGCCAGGGCGCCGTCGCCGCTCGAGTAGGCTTCTTGGCTCTGCGATGCATGGTGTGCATGTCAATTACACGTTATACTGTGCCGGGATGATAAATGAGCGGGCGGGGGGAGGGTGATGCGCACCCGTTGGAAACATGAGTTGCGCTTTGCGGCTTCTTGACGGGCTAGGTCGCGGAGACGGTCGTATTCGGCTTCGGCGTCGGTGCTTTGTTCATGGTTGAAGGCTGGGTTCGCGCATTGGTTGTTAGCCCATATTGGTGTATGCGAATGGATTGGGTTGGGGTTTCGCGGAGCAGTGGACGGGACTCCGTGGGTTGCGGCGGAGGCGACTTACCCCGAGGGCCCATGTAGGACATTTCGTGAGACATTATGACAGGGGATGCGGGATTATATACAGGTAAGAGGGTACTATATCATAGCATGATTTTTGAAGACGATGAGAACGCAAAATCGAGAATAATATCACGGCTAAATCCAAGCTGAAGAAGAGAGATCGGGATCGAGGGCTGAATCGGGGTTTGTTGCGACCAGCGAATGGGCGGCCGGAGGGAACTGAATCTGCGTTGAAGATGTGGAGCAACCAAGATCTTCTCATTCTTGTCCAGGGTTCAGGAAGCAACCATGAACCATCGATATCCATAGTCGATACGCCGCTGAATATCAACTCTTTCGCGACTTGACTCATTGCTACATCATCAATTGTAGATGCCATGTTGTAGTTGAAATGCTGGGAGCATGTACGGAGTACTCCGTATACAGCGTTCAATAGTCTCATCGACTAGGCTTCTGCATAGTGGGTACAGACCACAAAGACGGAAATGGTAGCAGCATACATTTGATTCGAAGTATGGGAGATGAGTTGACACCGTAGCTATCATACTCTGTACTTTGTAGTCATAGTCCTCAGTCTAATAGATCATCAAGCACAAAGGCAAAGCGCGCGGCAAGAGGACGAATAATCAATCAGTGGAGTGAGAGTGAAGGTGAGCCAGTTGCAATCCACAGTTTGCATAGCAAAGAGGAGAGTCTAATTAGCCGGTTATTTCACGTTCTCTGGACAGGAAGTTGGTACTTGGTACTGTACTTGTATGGACAACCTACCTATGATAAGTACAGTTCGATGATGACTTGTGACTATATATCCGAAGGCTACTACCACTATCTACTACCGTTGCTGCAAGAGATGAGGGGAGGAGAGCCATTTGTCTTGCTAGACTCCTTCAAGAATGCCTACTGATGATTTACGTCTGCGGAGAAAAGAAATTATTGATCGACAGACTCGGAGTGGAGAATTGAGGAATAAGCAAATAGGCGTATCACTACCTTAACAGATGGGATGGATGTATTACCAGGTAGATATCAGAGGTATCAGAGGTATGATCTTCTCAATTGCTTGACAAGTTTGACACAAACCACAAGAATAGAATCATCTGCACAAATGGCAAAGGACGCCGACGCTTGGGACAAAAATCCTTCTAGAAGGATGAGAGAAAAAGCCACTGTAGGAGCAGCCACCATTAGTCGCGCAGAATTGTTTCTCGTACCGGGACCGATGCTAAATCTGTGGCTCCGATCATAGGCCATCTCCACTGCGTGGCGACACTCTGAAACTGCACAGTTTGTTGCATCGCAGTCGCAGTGCGGACTCAGATGACTATCTATATGTTGTACTATCGAGACGTTGCGCAATTGCTATGATCGCTCTGGCTTCCTGGTAGGATGAAAACAGCAAGGGCAAGCCGAGTCCTAGCTCAGATGTCATATTCACCCACATCATTGATTCAAGTGCTTAATTATGCATGAGCCAGCATATGAAAGATAAAGCACCAGGTTGACGTGATCAGGTGATATCTATCTGGCCAGTATCTACTCCGTACTCTGGATTGACATATGGTGCTCTCATTACAAACTCTAGTCAAACAAAAATGATACTGAGTCTCGGTTGCATCAACTGCCAAAACACAGATGACAACATCTTCAGTCTCATTCTGAGTCCACAACAGTTTCAATCTGCTTCTGAATGGCATCATCTTTGAAGATACTGAATCATTTGCAGTCTAGATACTCCGTCCGTAGATAGATAGATATCGCTCTGTCTTGCAGCCAGCTGTATGATAAACCGTCCTGTCGGATTAAATAGGCAGGTAACCTTGGTCCACTCACCAAAAAAGGAGAGGAGTATCGGTTCTGAAGAGTAATTGGTTCGCAGAATTATGTCTCCACCATAGCCCCTTACCCTCACAGCCAATCATCATGGCAAATCAAGGAAATAGCCCACAATTCCAGTCGATTGGCTCCACTTCCCCCTTATTGTTCTTTCCCAAAAGTGAAAAGAAGAGACGAAAAATAAGAGCCCTCATGGTTTCCTCTGCAAATCCGCTTCATTTCGTCTCGTTGGCCGAAACTTAGTTTTGCTCATAGGTACTCATCCTCATCCTCATACCAGGTACCTTAGGTACTACTACTACTACTAGATCGTTGACTCCGTAGATATCTTCGTCTCTGGCTTTTCCCTCTCCCCTCTGTCTCTCAGTCTCTCGGATTTTCCCCTTACCTTAGCTTCCCTTTGGTCCCTCTACCTCCCGCTCTACCTGCATTTTCCCACCTCCGAAGCCTTTTCTCTTCCACTCCCTCTTCTCTCGTCCTCCTCTTTCTGTCTCCATAAATCATCCATCATCATCTTATCGACTCCTTGACTTGGGTTGATAGATAGATCAATTTCTTCATCCCGCCTTTCTCTAGCTTCTTTTCTTTTGACCGCTGTGTTTCTTCTGCATCCTTTATTTTCTTCTTCTTCATCGTCGGATCGAGATTGCGGTTCCTTAACCGGTGCTTAACCCATTCTCCCGACCTTGCGGGCGGTTTCACTTTCACCAAACGTTTTACTTTCCTTTCGCCTCCTTTCCCGCCCGGTCCTAACTCGTTCACCTACCTATAATTTTTACGCCCCTTTAAACCTCCCCTGTTTGTCTGTACTGTCACTCATCTTCTCGGTAATATTATCGTCAATTAAATCCAGACAGCCATTCGCTCTCCTCTTTCTATCTGAGAAGGGTGAAATATCATCCTCCTGTCCGGAAAAGGATTTCGAACTAAAGTGGGTGATTCTGTCCCTTTTACCCTCTGCACAGCCGCCCATCTATCTGTCTGGTCTGCCTTGAGAGCCTTTCCGCCGCATGAACCTACATCTCCTTGCGTCAGCACGATCACTCGGATTTGTAATTGTCTGTTGCCTGTCTGTTATCTATGGGCATTTTCCATTTTGCGGTTCTTCTCGCCCGTGGTGTACCACGTTCAATGTGGTGGACTGTCTCATTTGATGGTTTCGTGACGATACTTGTCTCCTTTGCTGACACTGTCATTGATAGGCTTCCACAATAATCAGCCCCGCGAAGTTCCTTCCGAATATACCTGCCTATCACTAGACTTTCGTTAACAAACCCTAACCAACTGAATAATCGACTTCCGCCAAGATGGGTTGTGGAATGAGTACCGAGGATAAGGAGGGCAAGGCCCGCAACGAGGAGATTGAGAACCAGCTCAAAAGGGACAAGATGATGCAGCGGAATGAGATCAAGATGCTTTTGCTCGGTATGCCTCCGTCATCGAGCCGCTCCTCAACCTCGGCAGACCGTTTTCACTAATGTCCTTGAACAGGAGCTGGTGAGTCCGGCAAGTCGACGATTCTGAAGCAGATGAAGCTCATCCATGAGGGTGGGTACTCGCGCGATGAGCGGGAATCCTTCAAGGAAATCATCTACAGCAACACTGTCCAGTCGATGCGCGTCATTTTGGAGGCCATGGAGTCGCTGGAACTTCCCCTGGAAGACGCTCGCAACGAGTACCACGTTCAGACCATCTTCATGCAACCTGCTCAGATTGAGGGAGACAGCCTACCCCCAGAGGTCGGAAACGCCATTGGTGCTCTTTGGCGTGATACTGGTGTTCAGGAGTGCTTCAAGCGTTCTCGCGAGTACCAATTGAACGATTCCGCCAAATAGTGGGTTTAGTCTGTTCCTCTGCGGTGCTTCGGAATGTTTGCTAATCGGATCGACAGCTACTTCGATGCGATCGATCGTATCGCTCAGCCCGACTACCTTCCCACCGACCAGGATGTTCTGCGCTCTCGAGTCAAGACCACTGGTATCACAGAGACAACCTTCATCATCGGTGACTTGACCTACCGAATGTTCGATGTCGGTGGTCAGCGTTCGGAACGTAAGAAGTGGATTCACTGCTTCGAGAACGTGACGACAATTCTTTTCCTGGTCGCCATCTCGGAGTACGATCAGCTGTTGTTCGAAGATGAGACCGTCAACCGTATGCAGGAAGCGCTCACCCTGTTCGACTCGATTTGCAACTCGCGGTGGTTCGTCAAGACCTCTATCATTTTGTTCCTGAACAAGATCGATCGATTCAAGGAGAAGCTGCCTGTCAGCCCCATGAAGAACTACTTCCCCGATTATGAGGGCGGTGCCGACTACGCCGCGGCCTGCGATTATATCCTGAACCGCTTCGTATCACTCAACCAGGCCGAGCAAAAACAGATCTACACTCACTTCACATGCGCCACCGATACTACACAAATTCGATTCGTCATGGCGGCTGTAAACGGTACGTTTCTTACGGCCCTTGTTACTCTTGATTACCGACCACTAACGTCTTCCAGATATCATCATCCAAGAGAACCTCAGACTCTGTGGTCTGATTTAATGAGCCATTATACTTGACGGAGTGAGGATTTTCTTTCAAAACATTTAGACCGCATACGATGTGGCTTGTAATCAGATGTCGATGTTCTGTATCTTTTCCTGGATGTTCTTGCCATACCTGATCTCGATTTTTCTCCCTGTTCGAGACCCTGGCGTTGAGACATTCAATCTGTCCATCTACTAATCTCCTTATTTCCTTTGTTGTCTGGAAATGATATCTCACCAGCTCTATGTTATCATTATTAAGATTATTGATATCCCCAAAGACACAGAGCAGGAGTTTGTTCGTCATTTCTTTTTCAATTCACCATGTGCAGCGGGTTATCTGTGGTTTCTTTACAACCCTGCAGGTTTTTGTGTGAGACCCTGTGGTTTATGTCCCTTTCCTTGTTGATTTTATTTCTTCTATTCCTTTTTTTGATGGGATGCCCGCATTTTCTTATTCAATCTTGTCGTTTCTCTGTCTTCTAATGCTCATCTCATCCCTCTTTCCGTTTCCATACTCCAGTCGTCTCAATTTTTCATGTGTCTGCTTTTCGAATACTGGATATCCTCTCATCATCTCTTGGTGCCCTCGTCACAGATTCTGTGTGCAACCTAATACCACGCACCTTATCCTTGGTCTCGTGTCCATTGGGCGCAATGAAGGACGATATGGCAGTGGGCACAGGGAATGGCAGGATATGCAGATTATCATGTCTCTTCTCACGTGTCATGTCGGGTCGGTCGTTGGTCATAGTCAGAGTTAAAGGAATTGTGAATTATTCATTTGTTTTAGCCATGAGATTGCCGTATCTACTCGTACGTATGTCAAAGTAAAGGATGGGTATGTACAGGCCACTATGACTAGGAGCTCGTCTATATAGAAACGCTGGAATCGTCAACGCTTAGATCATGATCGAGGGTTAAGACTCTAAACCAAAGGACTGGCACTCAGAATCGCAACTTTGGTCCCAGAAACACAATCAACACGGCCACAATCCACAGACCGAAGATCCATGCATACAGCATCATCCGCCCCCACCAGCCTTTCCCCTCGGTCATGCGCCGCAACATCCCCATCCTCTTCTCAGCAGCGTCCATATTGGTACTCGTACGGTCGAGACCGTCGACCGCGCGCGCCAGCACCGACTTCTCCGCCTCCAAACTGGAATGAAATGCCTGTGAGGATACCTTGAGCTGCGTCGCAAGGGAAAGCAGGGACGTAGTGAGGTCTTCTTGCTCGGCGCGGTGGGCGTCAAGCGTCTGCTCCGTTTCTTGGAGGTTGGAGGTTGAGGTCGAGGAGCCGGTGGTTATTGCTGTGGATTCCGTTGCAGCAGCAGGGCCTCTCTGATCTCGGTGTCGGTGCCGTAGTGTCGCTTTTGCTGCTGCTGTCGCTGTTGCTGATGGCGGTGCTGTCCTTATTGACGCCGTAGTCTGCGGTGCAGTCTTGTGGATATCCGTCTCGGGTTCAGCTTCGCCTTCCGCTTCGGCGTGTACCTCCTCCCTCCCCTCCTCGGAAACAGCATCCCTGTTCCCTTCAGACGCGGACGATGTACTTCCCGCCTCGGGCATGACCGTCACAGCCTCCTCCTCTTCCCCATCGAGAACTATCTCGTCCTCGTCCTCTTCGTCAGAGTCTAGATCGCTTGCGGCATGCTCAGCAGATCGGGAAAGTCGCGTTTCCGCCTCCGTGGAACTTCTGTCTAGTACATCCCGGAGGAGCTTGAGTGTTTGTCGTTTTCGCGTGAGGTCTGTTTGGAGCTCGTGGCGGCGGTCGAGGGGTTTGAGGGTTGGGAGGGTGCGTTCGAGTTGTGACAGGAGGGTGCGGGCGTACTCGACGTTCTGTGATGGGGTGTTAGTTTCGGCTGGATAGTGGGCAGGTTGATTGCTGGGTTCGATGTGTAGATGGATGGAAGAGGGAAAGGACGTACGGCTGCTATGCGCATGCGCTGGTACTCGTTTCGTCGGAGAGACTTGAGGTCTGCGGATGGGGAGAGCAGGTTGTGTTCTAGGCGGGTGAGGAGGCGGGAGAGGTTGAGGATTGTGAGGTCGGGGGAGGAAGGTGTTGTTGATGAAATCTGGGGGTAGGTTGTGAGTGTCATTTTTGCGCTTCCTGATTCTATCGGAAGATTGTGGTTGGGGAAGTGAGGGGATTGGTGCTCTGTCAGTTGGAGATGGAGATGCTGTCTGTCACTTGGCTGTCTTATCCGATGCTGTAGATCGCATGTCATGGATGAGTAAGCGGTGGAGATGTTCTGCACTTTATCCATCTACGGAGTACTCTTATCATAAAGAAATAATGGTGGGTCTTACTGAATAATCACTTAATAATCACTTAATAATCACGTATTTTCTATTTAAAAATTACCTCTTATAGATTAGTGCATCTATTTATTTATTTAACCCCTTTACTTACCTATTTTAAGCCTCCTATTTTAGCTATAAGCATTTCTCTCTTATCTTACCTATCTAATTTCTATTATTACCTCCCTTTTTATATCTATAACCATACCCCTATTATAGTTTTACTACTATATCTATAAGAAATAGAGCTATAGTAATTCTTTTACTTATAGTTATACCTATAATAACTATACTATATATACCTATTACCCTATTTACTATACTATTCTATATGCTAATACTCTATAGGCCTATAGAAAGAGGTTTTACTTCTATAGGAGTATATTCCCCTTCTCTCTCTTAAAGTAGTCTCTCTGTATTAGTTTCTCCTACCCCTCTAGCTATTTCTATACCTACTCCCCCCTATTAATAGTATTAGCTAGCTTAAGATACTACTTTATATATACCCTTATAGCTATATTATTATAGCTACCCTTTGTGACAGCCCTCTCAGAGGTTGCTCACATTCTGCCGTACCAGACTGTTGACCGCCATCTTGAAGTGATTCCATATCGAGAGATTCTGTTGGGGATTTTCCGTTTGCTTTGTACAACCAACGGCACCAAGATGTCTCACGCTCAAGCTGTACATAGATTCCCTCTCTTTCCTTCCCTCTTTCTGTTTCTTCTTCTTCTTCTTTGTCAAGCTTAGTATTCGCATCCAATGCTACCGTATGTTTCTTACGAATGAGCTGTGTGTGATAACCCCTAGATATCTATCTATATAACTATGTATAAGTAGCTACTTCTTATTTAGGATTATTTAACTTCTATATCTATTATACTATTACTAAAGTTATATTTAGTTATAGAGGTTAGTACTAACTATTATTAGTTAAATCTACTAATTTCTGCTAAGGTTATAGCTATAATTCTAAATCTTAGATAAGATTTTAGGTACTAAATATTTTAAGATTTATAGCTTATACTTCACCCTTGTCACGGGCTAGAAGCCGAACCTATGACCTAGGTTTGGACGGTAAGAAATCGCTAAGGGGTTCTAACTAGGGCCGCAACGGCCGAACAAGAAAAGATGTGTGCGAACTGCAGGCGAGGTCACGTGACTTGGTGAACTCGTGATATCGTTGGTGCCTAAGGCAGCTCGCGAGTGCCGATAGGCTCGAGTATACAGCGGGCCTTGCCCGCTACAACCCTAGTATAGATTAGTCTAATATAATCTATATTAACTCTAGTTATCTATCCTATCTACCTCTTTACTATATCTTAATTTTCTCTTATAGAATACCTAGCTAGGGTTATAATATACTACTAATTATATTACCTAAGCAACCTATGTATGCACCTACTTAGGGTCTATCTATAGATTATACTGCCCTATTAGCAGCTACTATTATTGTCAAGGTGCAGGCTCGTAAGTAAACGGAAGTAGGTTAATGAGGTAGTTGACACTCAGGCTGGCTACAGTGATCTCTATCTATCTGTTCAGGCTGCAGGGCAGGTACAGGTGGGCTTTATAGACAGGACGTAGCTCAAAGAGCTTCAACAGGTTTTGGAATTGTGCGGTGAAGATATTCCTAAGCTCACGTGATTTCTCATTAGCAGTTCCAACTCCTATCCACGGCAGCACCGTGACAATTATAGCTAATAATACTATTAAGGAGGCTCCTATACCTGATATATGTCACAGGCTACGCCTGGATGTTGCTTGGCTTCGGCCTGCGCGTCGTGTTCCTCACGTGACTGTTATTGACGTCACGTGACTCTCTTTGTGTTCGCCTATTCGATCCCCATCTTCGTGGGCATCTCTCTCTGTTTTCCCTTTCTCCCTCCAACGAATCCATTTCTTTGGTTGATATCGTTAGATTCAATAAAAAGGGCTTTGGCCCCCCTACAATATAGAGTATATAGATAAGATATAGGCTAAGAAGGTAGGTCATCTTACTCTTTATATATGGTATACTTTCTATATATTTACCTAGGCAGATATATTTAATACTATATATTATACTATATGCCTATACTAGTAATTCTTAATTAATATAGATACTATAGTTAAGTAGGTATATCTAGCTTATTTTATCTACTACTAGGATAAGATCTATACAGACCTATATAATAGCCTTATAGATACTATAGGTATTAATAAGGAGGGTAATTTTAATAAAGTTATAGATAGTATATTAGGTTACTATATTATTTTACCTTTAACTTATGTTAGTACAATTCGCATTTACCAGAGGGCGGCCGTTTTCGGCAACTCCCCCGTTCCGGTTTAGCGCCCGTCCCGTGGTTGCCCGATGCGGTTTGGCGCCGACCCGGTCGGGTTTAGCCTCCCGCGCTATACCGCGCGGGGAACTGCCGCCCGTCCCTGCCTTCACCTCGTCCGCTGAACTATATAAGGCCGCTGGTGCGTTGCTCGACGACCACCTCCTCTCACTTCCTTTACTTCCCTCGCAGCACCGTCCCTCAGCACCCTGCAGTCTCGTCACGCGCACTGGACCAGCCTGCTCCGGCCTCCACCCTTCGGAGATGACCGTCCCCCAACAAGGACCGCTCAGCCTCCGTCTGCCCACCGTCGACGTGCAGCTGTGAAACCGCCAGGCGACCATGGACTGCGTCCGCAGTCTGATTTCCTGATCTTACTGGAGGGCCCAACACGGTCTGTGCCGTGTGACCAGGAAGAATGCCTCGAGAAGGTCTCATTAGGCGGTCGATCGTCATGTCTGGCTGGCTGACGGTGCTTTCCTCCGGGCCATCCAGCCTCGACAAGTGTTGCCTCCGCGAACTCGGCCAGATCATGAATACCAATGGCAAAAATGCCTCAATGGGGCTGCATCGCCTGCGATGGAGTTTAGGAGATTCCGGTTGCGTAACTAGCTCAGCGCCTGGAATTGATCGCTCGTTGGCTGTGCTTGCTGATTGCCTTAAGCGAGCGATGGATACGCCTGATTGGGAGGAATGTCGTGTCCAGGATGAGTTGCGACGAGCAATCCCGTCGCGACCTGGTGTGAAGCCCGTTCGTATCTCTGCCAATGTCCGCCAGGCTGACTTGCAAACGAAACGATGTGACGGGCGAATCCTGGATTCGTGGGTTACGTGGCCACTCCTTTGTTGGACCTCCCGCCTACTGATTGGATTGCGTCGACGCTGAACCTGTGATCGTGTGTGCGAAGCGCCGAGGCACTATCCATCATTTCTGCACTCCTTTTGGCTATGATGGATTACGGCTCTGAGCAGGATCAGACCGATTAATTTCCGGGTCCACCGAGTTGCGGATTATGGGAGGTGCGCCTGTATATTTGACTTATTTCGTGAAAGGTGTGCTTTCGGGTATAAAAGCCCCATCCTTCACCCAGAAATTCAAGCGTCGACAGTCGTTGCCTTCCCATCTCTGCCCATTCTTTCATTCGTCGTCTCCTCGTCTTTACTGGCATCTCTCAATACTGGTTTAAACAATGTCCATCAGCCTTAATAATATCAACTTCTGCTACCAATACCCTCCGCCTAAACCTATTACTGCCTCTCGTTAGAAGCCGTATTAAGTCCCTTCAACTCCAGCACACATTCCACCTCGGACTTGCCTCCTTCCATCTAAGCCAGGTGCCTCAACGTCGAGCGCTCCAACCCGGAGCGGTACTCCAGAGATCGCCCAGAGTCCGAGCATCTTATCAGGTGGAAGTACGAACGGGGTCCGCAGTGAATCTGGCATCAGGACAGAAGGTATGGCTCTGGCAGAACTCAGTTTGAAGGTGTCGGAGAAGGGTCCAGAGACGCACCAGGCTTGTGGCTTCCTTGATGAGACTGCCACGGATATATCCTGGAGCCTGAGCGCCCCTTCAGTAGGTGGTACGTGCGACCTGCGGTGGATCTGTTTCAGAGCCTTACTAACTTTGAACTCTTTCAAGCCGCCGTATTAGAGCCGGCACGAATCTAGACAAGCGATGGTGATAGCCGCAAAACCGTGCATCATAAACCAGTTGTGGTGGAGGATGTCTTGCAGAAGCAGTCGGATGGGCAGGCGTCCCTCTCAATGCAGCCTGCCACTTCTTCAGACTCTGAACTGGTTGCAACTGAGCAGGAAGTTCTAGGTAAGGCATGATTTCTGGAGACAGGTTATATGATACTAACATGCAATAGAGTTGCCAAAGTCTAGAACTCTGGGCTCGCCTGAAGAAAGTATTAAGGTCTCACGGATTTCACGCCAGAGCAGTGCACGGTCGACGCCATTAATTGGTGACTATTTATGTGCGCGTATCTCTCGGTCACCTTCGATAGGCGTCCTGGAGCACACACTTAACCCGGGAAGGGAACATCGAACTGAAAATATCCATATCAAAGAAAGGACCGTTGGAGACTCTCAGGGCCAGGAAGCCGCAAGCTATAGAGCTAAGGATGCAGGAAGTAAAGCAGGTTGCACGGAGAGCCTCAGACACGGGACCCTTGGGGCCGAAGACCAAAACGCAGGTACAGGCGGGAGAGATGATAGGGGCGCTGCCGCCTCTGGTCCTGTTTAAGTCCGGCTTAACGGACCACCTGCCGGACAAAGTTGCCGTGTCTGTTGTCATCCGCAGGCGAATATTGGAGGGCCGAAGCAATTGACACCCGTTGCTGAGAACTCACTGATCTGTCAGCCAGGCCGCCAGATAACCGCGATGACTGAGAACACTTCATCCTGAACACCCTATGATTGTGAAAACTCCAACAACGATTGGGATAGCGAGAACGGTCAAGCAGTGGATGGGCTGATTAAAGGTTATCCGACATTGACATCCAGACCCATTCGCGAACCAAACGTACGCCTGGCAAAGAGATGTAGGTGTCCGCCCGGAGTTGAGACAACGGCAGGATGTACTTCGGCGTTGGCCGATGACGCCACGAGAGAGCATTCAGGTTCACCCCAGAGGCCGCCGGAAAACGTCTTTCCGTCCACCTCTGGTGAAGCGCAGGAGGTCTTTGGCCGAGGAATTTTGCGCATCCAACCCCATGGACCTCGGAATGCGTATGTCATCACATTTCTGCCGGATGTCGTCCAACCGGCGTCTATGTCATCGATGTCCGAGATGCCTTGCGAGAAGCCGTCCCACTCCACTGGCTGTGGACCGGCGAATCCGGCAAATGCCCGAGTGGCTGACGGTGTGCCAGGTGGAGAAAAAGATCTTCCCATCGACCCTTTGATTCTCGCCGATGATGAGCCGTGGGAGGCGGGAGATCTACGTCAGCCCTTCTCTCTGGGTGACGATCCTAAGCCTTCGGAGACGATATGTCCATATCCAGACCCGTCTCCCCTTTTCTCCAGTGCAATTGAACAGCAAGACTCCGTCATGCTGAGGCAGGACAAAGATGCTCAGTTTATCAGCTCCCCTCACGACTGTCACAGCGTTGCGGCCGGCAATCCTCCCTCCAGTAACCCTCCGGGTCCCGCCCACGGTGGTAGACAGTCTAAATCTCGCAAGCGAAAGCCGCGCCGACCGGATGGACAACAGCCCAAACGGGTTCGAGGCCCTCATACGTCCACCCCAGAGGGGAATTCGTTTGCAGCGCTCCACACTCATTTCATGTCTCTGCTGCTTGACAAGCGTTTGCAATTCCTCCCTTGGCTGTTGGAAGGTGTCCTGCCACATCACATGCCTAGGCCTGATCCGCTGACAACTGGGAATGGAGATGCGCGGCCAGCAAGTCGCCTGACTCAACGGTCCGATAGTAGTGAGCCTCATGGCAGCTCCAGAAAGGGCATGCCGTGGTCATCCGAAGAAACAGAGCTCCTACTGAGACTGAGGAGGGACGAGCAATGACCTTGGTCGGAGGTGACAAGATTGTTTTCGGACCAGTTTCCGGGCCGGAGCCGGGGCTCCATTCAAGTATATTGGAGCACAACCCTCAAGAAGAGAGCACATTAACACAGTATGCCTTTCCGTCTCTTGATTTTCTTTCTGTTTCCGAAATCTACACAGTGCCATTTGTAGTTGTAGAATGATAGAGTTGTGGATGCGACCGACCGCCATGTTCTGCATGGCACGACGGCCGGTAAACAGCAGGTGGGTGGACAATAGGAATATCAGACCAGAGAATCCCGAAGTATTCCCGATTTCCGAACAGGGAGGGAACTTCCCACCTCCTTAGGGGAACTTCTCCTTTTTCATGGGGACTTCCCACAGGATGACTTCTGCAACCGACAACTGAAAGTGTCTGTTCTATTCCACGAATCCCTCAGCGTTTGCACAGATGCATTAACCCAAGGATACAAACCGCAACACAAAGGGGAGACCTTAAAAAACTTAGCTGCAGGGACTACCCAGGTGTGGAGCGGTAGTGTCCATTGTGCAACCAAATGCCATTCATGCGAAGAACGAGCATAAGCAACAAGCTAATTCTCAAGTATCTAGATACATCATTTTCCAGCACACTTCCTGCGAACTATCCTTCCTCAGACTGATACTGGTTCCCTACCCTTCGGCCTCCTGATGTTCAAACTGAGGATACATGGCCTCGACAGACCTGACCTCCTGACCGTCATCGTCTTCACTGCACGAAGGCCCCAGCACCGTATCATCTTCGACTTGTAAGCGTCCCATTTCAAAATCGATCAGAGCGTCGGACTGGCGCTCGACCAACTTATGCAGTATTTCGTCAAATGGAATACCATCCGTAGAGCACTTTTCGATGCAGGCAAGCGTAGTATACTGCAAGATTACTCCCCATCTGTGTATACTTAGAATAGGAAGATTAATATCAAGTTATCCACTTACACCCACTGCACACAATGGCAGAATTCCCGTCGCTCTGTAAGATGATCGGGAAACCACATGTACTTTTTTAGCTCATCAATTGGTGGACAACCGTCATTGATGCGGTACTCAAGACTCGTGCAAAGTGGCGCGGCGGGAGTGTATTTCCCGAAAGATCTGCATTGATACATTCCCCCAACTCGTTGAAGGTGATGGTCCAATGCGCCCGGCAACGAGAGGTTGAAACGAGCTGAGCCTTGATAGAGCGTTCGGCCATGGTATCCATTGTGGAACTCGTCAACGGGTGGTCTAGAAAGGTTGTTCAATAGCCGCGACGAACCCTGAGGTATACCGGCCTTAAGCAGTAGAAGCTCACTGCTACTAGGACGAATATAAACCAAGCAGCGTATAGATGTGACGCAAGGCAGGTGAGGGTGTCCAACATCACAGATGGACTGGATCCTACACTCGGAACGTATCCGCTGAATTAGCCGTCAGGGAGCCACATGTCAAAGAGCAGGCGTTATAACTTACTTGAGCCGGTTTCTCAATCAGTAATTTTCCACAGGTAGAGGAGGAGTTGGGTTATATGAAAACGGTGGCTCGGTGTCGCTGTTCAGGCTGGATACCGGCCTAGAATCCAAAACACCACCTCGCAGGGACGAGTTCACCTTGAGCACCCAACCGCAGATGACGCCCATGCAAGTCATTTTGTGGCCGTCCATAGAGTGAGTTGCTATGAGGGGGATAAACCGCGCAAAAGCACAGAATACGAATATCGCAATCAGCCCTCGACAAGGGACCATGGCCGTGCGGAGAAGCAGACTACCAAGGTGCTGGAAACTCAACCTGTCGTACAGAAGTGGGACTATGATTACCCGGCCGATGGAGGACTAAACCAGACCCTCACGACTACCAGCCACGATGGGCTGACCACCAAGAAGGAGGTTAGGTATTCTCTAGTGACTGGGCAAGCTATCGCCCATACAGACCAAAGTTGTGTGCAGGACCGCTTCGACTATGATAAACTTGGCCGCGTCGTAAAGGCCACAACGGCTCTTGGAACGCCGTATGAAGCGGCACTGTCCCAAGAATACGCCACCCTAGAAGACGGACAGGGAGCTTCCCTGACGGTAACCGACTCCAACGGGGTCCAAACACGCTACATCACCGACGGCTTGGAGCGGGTCTGCAGGGTCGAGAAACAGGATGCTGATGTCTCCTAGACATCAGTCAGGGCATCTAATGAGACGTTCCGAGTGGTACAGGAACGCAGCTATAACGAGCTGGGGCAATGCGTCAAGGTGGTCGAGATTGACTGGCTGCGGAAGAAAGACGCAGCACCGACGGAACAGCGGAGCGTTCAGACTCTGGAATACGACGATTGGGGGGAGGTCTGCAGGACAGTTAATGGCGACGAGATGGCGACCATCTCGCTCTACGATCCGACTGAGTTGACTCGGACGGAAGGCATCGAGGGTGAAGGCCAGAGCAAGGCATACCTCAATCTTTTCGGTTCCACGGACAAGATAGAGCTGCTCACAAGGAAGGGGAAGGTAGAGAGTAAAGTTGAGTATCATTACGATGGCCTCAGCCGCCTTGTTGCCGAGGTAGATGCCTTGGGTCGCACCACAGAGTACGAAACCGACTCGTTTGATCGAATCTCAAAAATCACTTGGCCTGGTAGCCGAGTGGTCGAAACCCGCTATGCAGGCCACAGTGCCTCTGCATTGCCCGAGTCCGTGACCGTCAATGGACGCACCCTCGGTGCGCAGTTATATGACGGGCTTGATCGTGTCAAGGAGAAGACGATCGGGACCCGCACCACTCTTCAGCACTACAAGAACAGCTCGCCAGAGCCGCACGAACTCATCTCGCCAAGGGGCACCCGCGCCGACCTCGAGTACGAGCCAAGTTCGGGGTACGCGCTCACACACAGAATTGCCGTTAAAGGCCAAGGCACTGCCGGAAGTCCCAACGAAGACAGCTACGGGTATAACGCGCGAACTGGGGCGCTTTCAAAGCTGAGAAGCCCATACATTACTGTTGATCTCGAGTATCTTGCCTCCGGTCTTCTGTGGAAGGAGACGATCCAGGTGGCCGATGGACCTAAGTTCTCTACCATCTCTACCTACACCATGGCGGGGAAGCTGCAGGGATACACGGATGTACACGGGCATGAATATGAAGCCCAGTATGATGCTGATGGCCGAGTTGACAATTTGCTCCAGGGATCTCTGAAAGTCGGGTTCACCCACAACGAACGCGGTTATGTCTCGGAGGCAGAAGTCAAGGACGAAGATAGAAATAGTATCCTGACTACTCGTTTGTGGTATGATGACTTTGGCCGCGAGACGGACCGGGCGATTCTTCATGGAACTAAGACCCTGTTCAAGCTGAAACCGATTTACGGGCCCACTGGCCTGGTGGCTGAGCGGGATCTCAAGGACGAGGATGACAAGGTGCTGCGGCACGAAGGATTTGAATACGATGTTCACAACCGCCTTGTTGACTATACCTGCAGTGGTGAGGAGAGTCAGCTGCCTGTCGATGAGCATGGGCATACGATCCTGGGTCAGAAGTTCGAGTTTGACGATTTCGAGAATCTGAGCAAGGTTATAACTCGCTTCCAGGACGGGAGTGAGAATGTCGCAACCTATACCCCTAGCGAAACCAATCCAACGCAGTTGGACAAGATCACAAACACGCACAAAGACTTCCCTGCCGACATTGACTTGGAATATGATGAGAATGGCTGCTTGACCCGCGATGAGAAAGGTCGCACCCTAGAATATGATGATATGAATAGGTTGATAGCCGTTCGAGACGCCGGTGGTAAGACGGTCAGTGAGTACCTGTACGATGCGACAGGGAGACTAGTCTGTCAAAGAGTCCCCAATGAGCCAGACTACCATCTCTTCTATTGCGAAGACCAGCTTATAGCCGTCAAAGCGGGCGACCGCAAGATGAGCTATCTGTCCGATGGCGAGGTATACTGGGGGCAAACAGTTCTTCACGAGGAGATCATCGAAGACATAAGAAGAGCGAAGCACATGTTCACCCACTGTGATCTCACAAACATTATTAACTCACTGTGGACTGATGATGACCCCAAATTCATCCACCCGAGGTACAGAGTGCAACTGACATTTGCCATTCTGATATATTGCTACTCGGGGGCTCGAATCGGCACGTTTATACCAGACACGTCGAAAGCGGATGAACGCGGACTGTGATACAAAGTATTTTAGCAAACCCGCAGCGCATTGGTGTGGATATGCGCTGACCAGTTATAGGATATTGAGCTCTATATCTATCGCAGACCAGACGGAGAGATTGAGCTTTTTTCCGCCTTAGCGAGACATGGGTTAAGAATAATGATAATCCAAAGCATACAGCGTATGTCGGTCCTGGAGATACCCTCAAGTATCCCCTCACCTAATAACACGAGCCCAGTTTCCGTGTCGCAATGAGAGAGCATGGAAAGCTACGGTTCAATCCTGTTGCCTTCCCGTTGGAGATGGCTTTTCAGGATGGTGCTTTCCGGCATATCCATTCGCTGGATACCTTGAAAAGGTGGAATCCTAATCATAATGAGCCAATCCCACTCCTCTGGGCATCATCTGTGGCCGAGGAACCTGTTTTACGAACCGTGACCAGATTTGGTGGAATATCAAAGCGTCCATGGACACGAGAGTGTTTCTGCAGTCTATTCAGGGCAGTTGTCATCAACGCTGGATATCCAGAGATCATTACGATCCATACTTTGCGACGTGGCCTTGCCAATAGGCTTGACAGTACGTTTTGACCCAGTTGTCCTTTTTGACCAGCAAGAGCTAACATCTGCCTATAGAAGTGGCAACCGATGCTGAGAGGAGCCAGGTCCTCACACAAAAGGATCCGAATGTTTTCGGAAGAAGTTACATAGACAGCACCTCAGCGCTAAGCCCCATGGATGTGTTCCTAGGTGAGGCAATGCGCCTCGACCACGTCGAGTATCTTAGAGGTGTGGGCAAATACCGTGCAATAGGATATCCGAGACATTTGCCAGCGCAGAGACAGCATGCTATTCAGCAAAACCAAGACCTGCAGGAACTCGGAAAGCGACTTCAGGAGCTGCATGTACAGCAGAAGGCCAACGACGATGATTCTGATGGCTATGAGGATAAGGATGACGACGATAGCGATGCTGGCGATGCTGACGCGGACGCCAAGTTTGCCATCAGGCTAACAAAGAAACAAGTGCAAGTCTTGAAAACTCGTCTTCACGACGCCGAGTTAGCTCAATATCGGAAAGAGTGGATCGAAAGTCGAGTGGAAACGCAGGTAAAATCAGGAGGCAAGGCTTCGGAAGCGATCGTGTTTAACGATATTACGCGCTGCCTTTGCAAGGCTCAGCCCGAACGTCGGCATCTTGCTGAGATGATACCCTCGGAAGAGCTCCTATCCTATCAGGAGATGCTCTCCGCGGTAGAGAGCCTGCTGTCTTTATGTACCAAAGACTATGATGTTTTCTATCGTCCTGGGCAGGAACCGCTGAATGGAAGATGCCCAGTCAGCCATTGCAAGCATTGCAACCTAAATGGGTAAGTCGGACCCCTGGAAAATGGTACATACGCCATCCTTGTATCCTAACATACTGCTAGACTCACTCGTCCGAAACGGTCTAATCATGTTCAAGCTTGCCAACTCAAGGAACGCTGTAGAGCCCTAGGTTGTAAAGAGGCCCAGCTGAGGTATTGCTATGAATGTTTTGGATTTTTCGCTGGGGAGCAATGGGAAGAGCATTGCAACAACCATCTTGAACATGATGTTTCCAGAAGATGCGAAATCATCACATATTGCTATACCCTCATCCGACCTGGGTATTGTCCTTTATGCCTAGGCTGCGATAGCCTTAAACCTTCGGAGCGCATGAATGCCTGGAAACAGAGCAACGAGTTGAGAGCTCATGTCAACAAAGACATAAAGAAGATGCGAGGAAACTACATGTGTTGACACCCGATGTGCCAAATCAAGTTCGACTCTGAGATCCAACTTCGTTACCATCTGAGTGATATACATGGGCTGCACAAGGCAATCTGGGATGAAGCGGATGATCCCTCTGAAAAGGAAGACTCGGCTCAAGCTGACTTCTCCGTCAATACCGGTAAGAAGCGACGGCAAGGGCGGGTTGGGCAAAGGGACAAGAAAATACAGAGAGTTGGCAACGGACAGGGTGAATGTCTTCAAATCATCCAATGGGAGTATCCAAACTCTCCTAGCCATCCTACACCCCTGGCCCCATCTGCTGGCGACAAGGGACAAAGCCCGCATTTGGCAAACTCAAACGAAGCAGTTACTTATTTTTGGGACCATCATGCCGAGAACGCCTTGGAGGCCGACGCTGAAGCAGGAACAACATCCAACACCAGCTGTGGCAGTAGCATTTCTAATGGAGACCGCCAACCTCACTGGGATGGCTCTATTTTCTGTGGCTCTGACTCGTCCACCCCCCTGAGCCTTACCGCAAGCGTTTCGTTTGAACCTTCAACGGCCGGAACTAGTCCTGATCTTCTACCAATTGATCCGCAGATACTCCAAGAAGCCAATAACCCGCCAGTTGGAGTAGGCGGACGCAGATTAATCCTTGATAAAAAAAGGACTCAGCGAACCTCGATGCTGTGGAAATAGTTTTGAGGCTAGCACCTTACATGGTATCTGTTCATTGGAAGATAAAGGTGAATTCGTAGATGGCTAGGCTCAAGGAAGGTAGAAAACGCACCAGACAAGTCTATTGAAACCAAACTGAGTATCGATCACAGCTTTGTCCCTGGCTAAAGTTCACTGCCTTTAAGGAGCACTGTTGGTCTTGTTTTAATGTGAACCTGATAGCAGCACTAGTCCTAAGATTGGCTAGATGAGAATGGCTACTACAGGTATATTAACACGTGATCAACGCGCTTTACGAAATGTACCTAATTGCTGCCTTGATGCCTGATATTGTCTACTCTAGATAGAATTACCTACTGTAGTGGTATTTGATATTTGATGACTTTGATGAAGGTACTACCTCCTAAGTGGACTCCTCCACTAGATAAAGAAGAATAGCCTATGACGAAGAATCTGGCAAAGAATACATGATTATATTAAAATATGATGTCTAGACGGTGCTTCTTTGAGGGTTACAGTATTTCCAGTTATAAATGGTTTTCATCAAAATGCTTTGCAACTTGTCTAGTACTATCAGGCAACTACAGTGCCACAAGCAATCCAGTATGGACTTCATCAGGGACTCAGACTATTAAATGCCCTCATTTGACTTTGGAGTGGTCTCTGTTCAGGTTCATCCAAATGCTGCCACGTCAGTGTGGCTTAGACACTTCTCCTTCGGCTAGGGAAGTGATCAGCCTCATTCACCTCAACCTTTGCACTGCTTAGATCTCTTCTCACTATCTACCAAACTCCGTCTTCGACGTCAGATCAGATGCAGAGTCCGTGATGGCTCTTAGAAGACCATCTCGTACAGATATTCGGGCTACGGATCCGACAATATCCCTTAAGGCAGCGTTGCTGAGTTTTGAAGATATCCTGACGGAGGAGCAAAAGAGACAGTATCACGCCAATACTACGAAACCAGATGCTGCGAGCATCATTGCTTTCGTTGCAGACATCGATGCCAACAACAACAGTACGAACAGGAGGTGTGTCGCGCCACGCTTGTGCACCTTTCTGGAGGCAACACAACAGTTTAGCAGCGTCGTGGATACGTTTGTTAGCTCCAATCCCACACTCGCCGCCCTAATTTGGGGAGGCGTGAAGATGGCCATATTGACGGCTAGCAATGTCGCGTCTTACTTCGACAAGGTTACCAGCATGATCATGGGAATCGGAAAGTCGTGTCCGACGTATCAGAAATTTGGTCAACTCTATCCCGGCTGTGTCGGGCTCCAACGTGCGTTATGCGATTACTATGCCATCATTGTGAAGCTGTGCATCAAGATCATCGAAGTCTCACGGCGGACTGCTATTACACAAACATTAACAGCCATCTTCGTTCCCTTCGAGTCCGAGTTCAAATCTTCGCTAAATGAAGTAGACCAAGCCGCGAAGGATATACAGTTGCAAATATCACTTGCCTCGAAGCAGACTCTTGAGGAAGCAAGAAAGTTACTGGAGCACGAAAGCCAGGACAACACAGCATTCCGGCGGTTGACGTCGAAGTTCCAAAAAGAGACCGAAAAGGAGCATGCTGAAGCAAAACAGTTGCGAATCATTCAGATGGAAAGAGAAGCTGCAAAGTTGAAATCTAGCATTAGAGATAATCTTTCGTCCGTCAACCATGTTAAGCCATGGAAGCAGGCTATGCAACAACGTGTTCCCTCCACAGCCGAGTGGCTGCAGCAGGAATCCCTTTTTCATCAGTGGAAGGACGACCGGGATACTGCCATCCTCTGGTGTTCAGGCACAATGGGTGTGGGTAAGACAGTGCTCATGTCTAATGTAGTAGCCCAACTGCATGCATCACGCAAAACCAACGACATTATATCCTATTACTTCTGTCGCGCTGACGATGCGCCAACCCTGTCAGCAAGGAGCATTCTGGGAAGTCTCGCTCGCCAAATATTAGATTCCCAGATCGAGAATGCCGAACATGAAAGTCTACGCGCCATAGACAAGGATAGTCGTGACCTCGACACAGCTAAGGTCATTGATTTCTTATTGTCTCACCTTCAGGTTGGCAAGACGTACTATCTAGTTCTCGATGGTCTCGATGAATGTGATGGGGGCGATATTCAAATGGTGGCGCGGAGCCTGGCTCAACTCTGCGACAAGCATGTTAGTGACATCAAAATTCTCTGTGCGGGCCGCCCTGAGCTTGAAAAAGAGCTATGGAGAGTGATTACACCCAAGTATAGGATCCAAGTGACTGAGAGGAAAGTTGAGTCAGACATGGATCACTATATCACCACGATTCTGGGTCGCTGCCTGGAAGAGGAGCAGCTGAAGCTAGGGGATCCGAAGCTCATCATGCCGATATCCAAAGCTCTACAAGAAGGATCTAAAGGGATGTTAGTGACAATTTGCTAATTAGAGATCATGAAATGGCAACTGACAGGCTGACTGAAACAGGTTCCTTTGGACTCGTCTTTTCATCGAAGAGCTCTGCGCACAAAGCAGTGACAATGATATATTGGAAGCATTAAAGCATCTGTCGCGTGGCTTATCTGACATTTTCAATCAAAAGCTTCGTCGTGTCCGGGATAGAACGGCAGCAAAGGAAGCATTAAAAATACTCTAATTTTGTGGTGTGGTGAAGCGATCGTTGACAGTAATGGAATATCAAGAAGCCTTGAGTCTCTCCCCTGGGCAAAAGTCTCTTAACCGCGGGAAATTTCCTAATGATATATTCAGAGCCGTCAGTGACTGTTGTGGGTTAACATTTATCAATGAAGAGGACAACACTGTGCACTATGTTCATCAAAGTGTTAAACAACACCTTTTCACCATCCACAGTCTACACTCGCCGGACTTTGATATGGCGAGAATTGATCAGCATCTCGGATTCCTCTGCATGACCTACCTTGATTTCACTGACTTTAAGCGCCAGCTAATGAAGGTCAAAGAGGGCTCCAACATTCCTATCAAACCCCTTCAGCTTGGGACTTTCCCCATCAGTCGTTCAAGCAATGTCACCAGTCGAATAGCTCTGAAGCTACTTTCCTATCGTCGTCAATTACAGCATCTCAGCGCTCAAGAGCTAGAGAGGAAGGCCCAAGAAGTACTTGGCGACCTGGAGTCTTCACGTCTAGAGTTGGAAATCCAGAAACGAGACTTCCAGTTTTTCAACTACGCCTGGACTTATTGGATTAACCATGTGGCTGATCTGGATCCTGACGCAGAAAACAAAATGTGGAGATTATTTTGCCGATGTGTAGAAGGTAATGATATTCTTGCATGCAGACCCTGGGAGTCAAAGCAGCAGAACCATGGAGAAAGGAGCAATATACCGAAGGAGATACAGTGGCTAGTACCCCACGGACATTACAGCTTACTTCTGTACTATGCCAAGCATCAGTCACATATTTTGACTGAAAATGTGAAACGCCAAATCCTTTGCAACACCGCCATTCATGACCGTTATCGCTTCACAGAGCTGATCATCCAACAAATGAACACTTCCAGAGAAACCTTGAATCGTGGATTGCTATATGCTTCGAGAGAAGGGTGCAATGGTTCAGTGACGATTTTACTCCAAGCAGCGGCCTATGTGAATGCTCGAGTGTGTGACCGAACAGCGCTGCAAGCAGCAGCAGGAGGTGGTCATCTTGAGGTAGTGGAGAGACTGCTGGCAGCAAGAGCCGATGTCAATGCACCTGCTGCTGATGATTATGGACGAACGGCACTCCAAGCAGCAGCAGAAGGCGGCCATCTTGAGGTAGTAGGGAGACTGAAACAGGCTGGTGCACGGTGACTGTTCCCAATCTTGACAATTACTTAAATAGTGTGAAAATTTCTTTTCTCTAGTTAGGACCATTCCACATACTGAGCCTTTTTGAGAAGTAAGGCGCGTGCCATTTTGGGCCTGACGAAGGATCATAAGGCACATTTGAGAGATTAATCTTATTTGATCCATTCCTGCGAGACTTCAGTTGAAGATAGAATCCGAGTATAACCCAGGACTTGACGGCCCTGAATGATTTACTGTATGTAGTGAAAGCTTAGTTTAACTAGCATGCGCAAAGAACATACGACTTTCCTTCCTTCAAGAAGAAGTACTTCCCTGATCCTGAGTCTTCTCTTCATATCTATCAATAATCTGTAATCAAAGCCTGGAACTTCAATCTTTCCTCCGTTGGTTTGAATGGTTCCAAAACCTCCAGGAGTACTTGTTTCCACTCCTCATCATGCCGTGATATCTCCCTCGCAATGGCATATTCCGCCCATTCCGGGAGGAACCCACTGGCTTCCCAGTCCACTATGCCCGCAATTTTCCAGTCCACCATGCCCGCAACTTCCTCACGCCTTACCATGATGTTTTGCGCAGCAAGGTCACCATGCGTTAGAACAAACGCATTCAAGTCCTTTCCACACAACGAATGCAGTTTCCATCTCCACTTCATCTTCTTTATAAACCCAAAGATTACACCTTGGTGTGAGTTGATTCGAGAGAGACACCACTTGTCAAAATTAATCTCGGAGTCAAATGGACCCATGAATTCGTTTCTAGCCCACTTATAGAAATTCACAGTCGGTTGGTGTCTGATGCGCCCAATGTATCGTTGCTGGCACTTCCTGAAAAGCTCTATCTGATGCCTGAGCTGTTCCTTGATAGAAATCAGATCAGGTCCACAAGTTCTTTGCCTGATTGTGCAACTCCCTTAATCATAAGCGGAATGCAACATTCAGATGAGTTACACATTTTTTTGTTGACAATTTCTGCATTATCTAGAATCGAAAAGCAGCAGCACGTAAAATCTTAACTATATAATAACCCTCTTGTCATGAAGTGAAGACAAAAATTCGGAATTACAGGAAAATAAATGGCACAACATGATTCTCAAGTCTCAACACACCCGCCTTCCAAACCACTATAGGAACATGATCTCGTCATATTCCAATTCTGGGAGTTTGAAAAAATCCTTGACTTTCGCCTTGTTTTCCTTGAAAAATTCGTTGAGTTTTTGAGGTGCGTCATCAATCGCCTTCTGTGGTACGTCGCTTGGATATAATCTGTTGAGTTCTTTCAGAACGTCTAGCACAAAAATTTGGCAATTATTGTTAACAGGATTGTATTTTTGAGTATTTTGGTTCTAGCACTTTTTTGCAGCTTCTTTAACTTGCTGCACAGTTGCTTTAGCACCTGAAATGGTACAGGTGCTGTAGACTGTACTCGCCGTGGCTCTGAAATTTGGCTGGGTCTTTGCTTCGGCCGGGCCTTTCGTGGAGAATGATGAATGCTTCTCAACAACAAGGTGAACCAGTGTCCCTGTAGGCGAGCCCTCTTGGTTTGGAATAAACAAAGCCCAGTGTGACGTGATTTTCTTATCTCTGATTACTGGCGGAAAAATAAGGATCATAAGTGTGCGCTTTGACATGTTGGTTGACAATTGTGTACCAAGGATGGCGATAATTGGGAGGTATAGGAATAGGTATAGACAGGGACTCGATTAATAAGAATTTATCAAGTGAAGCAGCAAATTACTAGCCCTCTTGATCGCAAAGAGCAGGTTCAAATCAATTCACCGAAAAATGCACGATTCTATAGAGACAGGAAAGGATTTTGGCCAGCATTTATAGCCTAGACTGTTACGGCCTAATCTCTAGGGAGCATTCTAGTATCTGCAAAGATGACATTGCTAACCTTTCTCAAAGCTAACCGCTTTTCGTGCACCTACTTCCTGAATTCAGGGTCAGCTGGCACCAGGACCAGGGACGTGCATCAATGGGGCGATACGGAGGGGGAGCCATTGACAGGTCAAATGAAACCATAAGTATTTAGTTCCCTGAATCTACTGTACAGTAAACTGCGTATAAACTACTCCAAAAGGAGACAAAGGAGACCCAGCAGTCGTCAGAAATGTGATAACTTATCAGTGAAGCCCAGTAAAACGTCCAGCTCAATGATGCAGATGACACAACTATCCACTTATTTCTAAGTGGGGCGAGCTTAACATGCATTCGCAATGAATCTCCTAATTGACCAGATCAGAGAACAAAGATGCAAATGAATAGGGTACAGTGAGAATGCGAGGTTGAAAGAGCCCTTTTAGCTTGATGACCCTTTCACCAAGGGATCTGAGTGCGTACCCAATCTGCACCTCTGCAACAGATCCTTCTGGAATCCGCAGCAGTCAAGACCCCATAGACAGTCTGTGACTGAGTATATGATTGGTCATTTCCTTGTTTAATAAGAGGTTTCAGCCCGTCAAGCCGGATTTGCACTGAGCGGCCAGTGGCGAAAGAGGCAACCCAGCATACAAGGTTGTCTGGCCATCCCTGGACGCGTAGTCTGAGGGCTAGTCGGCCTGGGAGGACTCCATCAAAGGCTCCTTTAACATCAAGAGTGAGTAGTGTGGCCTTTTTGCCTTGGTTTAGTGCTTGTTCCACATTGTGCAGTAGGCATGTTGTTAGGTCAGTAGCAGAACATAGAGGCAGAGCTCCAAACTGCTGGCTTGCTAGGACCTTATAAGAGATAGCAATCCATGCCATATTTTGTGCTATTAGGCGTTCAAGGCCTTTGCCTAGGACTGATAGGAGGGCGATTGGTCTATATGACCTGGGATTGGTCCAGTCTGTCTTCTTTGGTTTTGGGATAATGGCGAGGACTGCGTGTCGGAAGCATTTAGGGTGATAGCCCATTTTGAGGCAACCTTGATATAGGGTTAGTACCTTATCCTTGATCAGGGGCCATGCCACTCTGAGTATGTAAGTTGGTAGTTCATCTCTTCCAGGGGTTGTGTTCCCTGCCTGTAGGACAGCTATCTCCGTCTGTGTCATTGTTATTTCAGGGAACGGCAGGCTGCGGGATGGAACTGCCGGGGTGTCTATGGGTATGTCTCCTGCTTCAGCAGTGTTCTGGAGAAGGTTACGGACTAGAATATCTTGTTTATCATGCATAGTTGTTGCTGGGGGGCTGCCTGGCCTTAGGGGGTCGTTCATTGGAGGGCTGTGGTATGTGCCTGTGGACTTGTGCCATTTGCTCATGTTGAAAACATCCTTCATCTGTGTCACTGTGCTGATTTTATTTCTCTAGTACTGCTGCTGGGACCGCCTGGTCACCTGTCGGAAGTCCTTCTGGGTGATAAGACCAGCCCGGTAGTCTGTAAGCGCTTCTTTGCATTCAGTGTTCCACCATGGTTGGCCGCCTCCTTCTGCCAGGGACCTTTTAGCTGAGCCTTTGTATGCGCTGTGGATGGCGGAGGTGATATCTTCTGCAAGGTTGTCCAATCCTTCCTCTGTTTCGGCTGAGACCCTGACGCTGTCTATGTTGGACGCTAGGAGGGAGCAGAAGAGAGTGTGATCCAGTGTATTGAACCTTAAATTCTGTGCTGGCTTAAAGAATCTCTGGCCCCAGGGGATTCTGGTAAGGAGAGGTCGATGATCTGAGGTAGCGTTTAGGTGGTTTGCCAGCTTAGTATGCACTCCCAAAAGTGTTAGAGGGCTTGAAGTAAATGTAAGGTCCAGAACATTGCCTTTATCGTGTGTGGGTATGTCTATCTCTGAGATGAGTAGTAGCCCTTGCCGATCTAGCCATTCTGTGAATGGTACAGCAAAGGTGGAGGGCCCCTGTTGGAGCGATGGCTGCCACCTGCTATGAAGCAGGTTGAAGTCGCCGGCCAGTAGGACAGGCTGGGTGAAGTAGGAGTCAGGTAGCTGTGTGAGTGCTTTCACTGCATTGCCTGGCCTGATTAAGCTCCTTCCAGCATTATAGATGTTGATTATGAGGACTGATTGTCCAGAGTGTGAGTAAACCTGCAGCAAGAGGAGGTCGGAGAGAGTATCCTGGTGTGTTGGCTGGGGGCGGAGTTGGTAGGTTCGAATGCCTCTTTTCTTCCGGACATAAGTGAGAACTCGGGGGCGTCTACTTGTCTCCCAGCTGTCTGTTGGAGAGAAGCACTCATAGGATGGGTGTCTTTTTGTGATTTTTCGCGTGAGGTTGGTGTATATATATGGTTCCTGTATGAGGATGATGTCGATGTTGCTAGAGTATGCCTGGGAGAGGGCAATTGAGTGAGTGTCTGGGGTGCGGCCTACATTTAGTTGGAGTATTGAAAGCAACTCCTTGTTTGAGCGTCTTTGGTATTTCATAGTTCTTCATCCATAAGAGAGTTAAACTGGTTTGAGGGTTTGGGCGTGGTAAAGCGGACTGCTTGGGCTGTGACTGGAGGGGAGTTGACAGGTGGAGCAGGTGGAGGGGTGGATGGGCGAAAGGGGGAGGCCACAAGTGGAGCTGGTGGCAAGCTTGTAGATTTGTTAGCAATGGAGCTGTCGACAGCCATAGCCTGTTCCTGTGGGTTGGAAGGGGCCGGGGTGCAGCAGTTGCTCTCTAGGCGAGCTTTAGCTAGGTTCAGGGAGCCGGTCTTACGGATCTCAGAGCGCTGAGCTTTGGTGGGTGTGGAGCCTGTCTTGCTGGACCGGAGTGGGCATTCTTCATGGTCTGCTGGGTGCGGACCGTGGCAGTGTAAGCGTAAGCGTCTAGGAGGACATCTATGGGGGGATTGAGCGGCGCAGTTGTTGGTGTGGCCCTCTTCTGTATGCTGAGTGGAGCCACAGAGGCGGCAGCAGGGTTGGCGAGCACAGGATCTGGAGTTATGCCATTTCCAGCATTGGTTACATCGTATGATCTTCACTCTTCTAGTTAGAAGCTGGGCGTTTGTGATCATACCAAATAGGTGAAGCCGTGTGGGAAGGTTGGGTTTGCTATCCTCTAAGAAGTTGACAAACCAGCTAGAGGAGACAGTGTTGATGTTT